TTTTTATACATCTAATTTTGTTTCATATCATTTTTTAGGTTTTTTAAGCTAAAAGTTTGTATTATGCAAATGAGAAGAAACATTTTTCTTTGGATCATTGTTGGGCAATCTTGGAACATGCCATTAAGTGGGAAGATTGGGGATCCTCTAAAAAGCCAAAGTCTTCTGCAATGACCCCATATTCCTCTTTCCCATTTTCCTCTTCCGCATCCCAAATTCCTGAGACGCCCATTTCTTTCGATTCCGATCAAGATCCAACCGGAAAATCTGTTAACTCCCCAAGAACCAAAAGGCCTAGTGGAAGGAAAACTACAAAAAAAGCACGTAGGAAAAGCAAGATAGCAGATACTTCAGACACTCGTTTTTGTGATTTGATGGAAAAATTTAACGAAAATACAACTGAAGGTAGAATGAAGAAGTTCGAAATAGAAGAAAGAAAAGTTATAGTAATGGAGCAAATGTATCAAATGGAGTAAGAAGAGAAAGAAGCCAAGGAAAAAGAGAGAGATGATGATGGACCTTTCCAACATGGACCCTCAGGCAAAATTTATTACCAGCTGCACAAGAATAAGATTCTTGCCAAACTACAAGCACGCTCAACAAACTTTGATTATTATGGTCCTCTTCTCCCATCTCTACCATGAAGGACACGTGAAGATATGATTTCACTTTTGCAACTAGTTGTCGCCATTTTGTGTAAATGGGTTGTCAAAAACAAATCTTCGGATTTGGAGGGGATGTGTGGCCCTCTTTAGCGTTCCTTTTGTGTAAATCAGAACGGTTTAGTGTTCCTTTGTTTCAGTCAGGGAAAAAAAAATAGTTAAGTCAGCTATTTTTACTTAAAACATGCGTTTTTTTTTTTTTTTTTTGTAGGATATGCATGATTTCCCGTTCAATGTTCCAATACATTTATGTATGATTTCCTGTTCAATGTTTGGAAAAACTTTTGCTTATACCACCTCAAATTGGTTTTAATCAAGTACATGAAATATAGATAATTCATTGATTTTTAATAAGGTAAAGAAGCCAAATATTTTTATTTATTTTTAATAAGGCAAACATGCCAAATATTTTTATTTATTTTTAATATGGCAAACAAACTAAATAAAATACAAACACTCACAAAAAAAAAATAATAATAATAATAAAAAAATAAAAAAATTACAAACTCACTTGTACACTATCTAGTGTACAAAACACACATACTAATAAATCAAGGATCCAAACAAAAGATATCTGAAACATACTTCTTCAAGTCTCCCCTTGTCGTGACCACAAATGTTCAATAAGATCATTGCGGAGTCTGTGATGGATTGTAGAAGATTGAATCATACCATGATGAGTAAGGAACTCAGAAAACAAGGGTATCGGCTCTCGCGATACTTCAACTAGATGCACCGTTTCGGGTGCATCATACTTGTCATCTAGAGAGTCATCACGCTCATCTTCAATGATCATATTGTGCAAAATTATGCACACCTTCATGATATAACCAAGATCTTCATGGCTCCAAAATCTTGCCGGCCCCCACACAATAGCAAAACGTGCTTGCAGTGCACTAAATGCCCTTTCCACATCTTTCCGACATGACTCTTGCATTGTTGCAAATAGTTGCCTTTTCAATCCTTGAGGTTGAGAAATCGTTTGGACAATGGTTGCCCACTTAGGATAGATACCATCAGCAAGATAATAACCCATAGTGTATTGGTTGCCATTAATGGTATAGTTGGCAGCAGGGCACGTCCTTCAATGAGGTCAGCAAAGAGATGAGACTAATTAAGAATGTTAATATCATTAAGGGATCCAGGCATACCAAAAAAAAGCATGCCATATCCACAAATCATACGAGGCTACTGCCTCAAGTATAATTGTTGGTTTTTGTACATGCCCAGTGAATTGACCATGCCATGCAGTAGGACAATTCTTCTATTTCCAATGCATACAATCCAAACTTCCTAACATTCCGGGAAATCCACGTTTCTCCCCCTCCCGTAGCAGTCTGGAAATGTCCGCCTCAATCGGCGATCTCAGATATTCTTCACCATAAATGCTAATGATTCCTACATAGAATCTTTTCAAAGACTCAATTGTTGTGCTTTCACCAATTCTCATATACTCGTCAACAGCATCAGCGGGCATACCGTAAGCAAGCATCCGAATTACCGCAGTCATCTTCTGCAAACCGGATAACCCGGGAAAACCGGCGGCGTCAATCTTTTGGACAAAGTAGTCATCATATTGTTCAATCGCATTTAATATATGAAGGAACAACGGACGATTCATTCGAAAGATTCTTCGAAATATGTTAGCCGGGTAGACAGGATTTTCAGCGAAGTAATATTTGATTAGTCTCTCGTTGCCGGAGACTCTATCACGATGGATGTATCGCTGACCACTTACAGAACCAACATGCATAGTTGGTTGGTTGTCTCGTTGTATCTTCCTTCTATGAAATTCTGATGCCATAAGTTCCATAACCTCTACGCTTTGATCTTCATCGGATGAAGAATCATTAAAATCTTCTCTCAAAATCGCTCTTTTCAAATTGCTCATTGCAGTACTAAAGTTATAATGAAGGAAGATAGTTTGTAGGTAGAGGATGATGGTATTTATAGATGGAGAAATGATAGTTGAGAATGGTAGTTGAGAATATTAGTTGAAAAAGAATGGTAGCTGGGAATGGTAGTTGAAATGATAGTTGGGAATGGTAGCTGGGAATGTTAGTTGACAAAGAATGGTACTTGGGAATGGTAGTTAGGAATGGTAGTTGAAAAAGAATGGTCGTTGGGAATGGTAGCTGTGAATGGTAGTTGAAATGATAGTTGAAAAAGAATGGTAACTGGGAATGGTAGCTGGGAATTGTACTGGGAAATGATAGTTGAAAAAGAATGGTAGTTCAGAGTCGAGAACAAGAATAGAGATGGAGGCGACTGGGGAGGCCGAAATAATTTGCCCTAAAAATATTTTGTTTTTAATAATAATATAATCAAATATAATATATATATATTCCTGAAAAAAAAAATTAAAAATATATATATCATTTTGTTTTATCTCTCTTTTTTTTCTTTTTCTTTTTCGTTTTTTTATTTTTATTTTTTTTATTTTTATTTTTTTTTTTATTTTTTTTTTGTGTGTGTGTTTTCATTTTTTGACAAGATATTTTAGATATTTACTTCTTTTTAATTATGTTTAATTTTAGTTTCCTTCTAATGTCTACAACTTGACTTGGAATGTGACTTATATTAATATTGGTGATGCAAATATGAATGGTGGGAATGGTAGTTGAAAAAGAATAGTGGTTGTGCTAAAAAATAACATTTTGCATGAAATGCACCATTTGAGAAGAATTCTTAAAATGTAACATTTTGACACTATAACACCTGTCAAAATATAAATTTGGTATGCGAAAATGGCTTTTACCATTGGAGATGCCCTTAGTAGACTCTGGATTGATGGATAACCCAAATATTAAGGGCAATTACCAAACATTGGAGAAAAAAAAAAATTAAAGATCGGTCTATCCTTGAGAAATTATTTTACACCAAAAAAAATAAAATATAAAAAAATATTCCGTGTATCAGAACATGTCCTTATGTTTTATCAATATTTCTCATAATCCAACACACTTTGGGTATTGCCTCTAAACTTCAAAATAGTTTAATAAATTTTTTTTAGAGGACCAAAAAAATATAAAATATATATGTTGAATAAATTGCCTCTTTTGGTCGGACCAAAAAAAAAAAGTAACCTTTAAAAAAATTATCCCTTCTGAAAAAATATTCCAAAAATATAAATATATATTTATTGAAGAAATTATTTTTTTTGTTAAGAAAAAAAAAACCGAAAAAAGAGGATTAAATTTTTTTATTTCTATTGGAATAAATTATTTTCTTTGAAAGGACTTTCGAGGAAAAAAAAAAAAAGAAGAAGAAGTATTGCACAGAAGGAAAAATAATAATAAAGGAAGTAAAGAAGGTGATAAAGTTATATAAAAGGTAGTTAAGATATTATATAAGGGATGGTATATTAATGAATTCAATAATCTTCTTCTTATTTTGTTTAAAAGAAAATGATAAGTGGAGTGCAATTGAAAAAAATTAGAGTGTGGTCTTCGTTTTTTATAATAATTAAGATAAACAGATTACAAGATTAAATAATGATAGCAATTTACAAAATTTTTACAATAATAAATTATATATTTCCTTATATAATTAGATTTTTTTTATTAAAAAAATTCATAATAAATAGATAATTTGAGTTTTATAGAAACTCTTCTAAATATCTTATATTAATTTAAAAAAATAAAATTTTATAATAAATAGGTAATTTGTGTTATAGTTTTTATAGAAACTCTTAACTTTACTAAGATGTATATGTTTCTTTTATATATTTTATTGTCTAATTAGGGATACTAAATTATTTATTTTCTTTAAATTTTTTTTTTTGTCTAATTAGACTTTATTTTATTAAAAAATTCACAATAAATAGATATTTGAATGTTATTAAAACTCTTCTAAACACCTTATATTAATTTAAAAAATAAAAACTTATTTTAAATAAGTAATTTGTAGTAGAGTTTTATAGAAATTCTCTAAAAAATTTCTTTTTATATTAATTAATACATTTTTTTATATTTATAAATAATTACGGAAATTGTAAAATTCTTTACACTTTTAATAATAGTGTAGATTAAAAATTCTTTTTAATAGTGAAAATATTTATACTTTTAATAATTGTATAAATTAAAATATATATATATATATATATATATATATATATATCTTAATTAATAAATATTTTTTATATTTATAAATAAATACTGAATCACTTTACACTTTTAATAATAATATAGATATTGACATAGACTAATATTGAATTTACGTTAGATTTGATTGATCCAATACCTAATTTTAATTTGCAAAATTAAAAATAAAAAATACCTAATTTAAATGATATTGACTGTAATAGACTCGCTTGATGTTTGAGTTGATCCCCCCAAATTCCATCCTCATAGTCTTGCTATTATTACGCTAACTGTGCCCAAAATTTAGTGACTCAGAAAATTCCATGAAAAAACAATAGTCAAAAGAAATTCAAAGAGACTCTAAAGTTCAAACTTTTTTCAATAACTCGTCTGTCACATTTCTAGATCTACTTCTGTTCTCTGCAGGTATTCTTCTCTCAAACCTCAATGTTGATCTCTATTCACAGACATATATATTTGTATATATAAATCTACTATTGAGATTGTGTTTCTGAATCAGTTTCTGTATGTTTGCAGCACCAATTCTTCAATTGAAATGTCATCACCGACACTGCTCCCTGGTGCAAATTTGAACGGCCAAGAGGTAAAACCTTCAAACCCTAATGTTGGATCTGATGCACTTGAGATGAATTTGAGTAATGGTAATAAACATCAAAACAATGACACCAATTCAAAGCCACTTAAGATCTTCGTAGGTTACGATCCACGCGAAGACCTAGCTTTCGAGGTCTGTCGCTACTCCATTCTCAAGCGATCGTCAATCCCTGTTGAGGTTTTACCCATTAAACAATCTGAAATGAGGCAAAAGGGTGTGTATTGGCGTGAGAGAGGGAAGCTTGAGAGCACTGAGTTTTCATTTAGTCGGTTCTTGACACCCTACTTGTCAAATTATGATGGTTGGGCTATGTTTGTGGATTGTGATTTTCTCTACTTAGCTGACATTAAGGAATTGACTGATTTGATTGATGATAAATATGCTATAATGTGTGTGCAACATGATTATGCACCTAAGGAGACTACGAAAATGGACGGGGCGGTGCAAACTGTGTATCCGAGGAAGAATTGGTCTTCCATGGTGTTGTATAATTGTGGGCATCCCAAAAATAGGGTTCTAACTCCTGAGGTTGTGAATTCTGAATCGGGCGCGTTTCTGCATAGATTTCAGTGGCTCGATGATCATGAGATTGGGTCTGTTCCCTTTGTTTGGAATTTTCTTGTGGGTCATAACAAGGTTGTTGAGGATGATCCAAGTACATTCCCGAAGGCGATACACTATACACTTGGGGGTCCTTGGTTTGATTGTTGGAAGGACTGTGAGTTTGCGGAGCTTTGGGTGATTGAAATGGAGGAATACAAGAAGGCAATGGAGGAAAAAGAGAAGTAGATTAGGTAGCTGTAGCCGGTGATGTAATTCCATTTCTAGTGTGTAGTGAAGGTAATTCTTTTCATCACCATTTGTTTCTTGAATTGTTTACATGCCTCTCAGATGTGCTCTCTTGGCAGAATTCGTATCATTACTAGGGTGGTACATTGATGTACTCTCTTCATATTGGTTACTTTCAATTGTTTTCATGTTCAATTGTAATACCATTTATTACATTTGAATGTAACAACGAGTTTGTTGATTAATATTGATTTATGATTAGTAAAAGAACATGTTTGAGGGTAATAACAAGTTTGTTGATCAGTATTGATAAGTAAAAAACCATTAGATGCCTTTCTACTCTGTTCTGAATGAGATACAATTTTGTTGTATTTATTTGTTTTTTTTGAATTCTATATTTGCCTGTCACTTGGTTTTGTTGTTGAGCTATCTTCTCTATCTCTTCGTCTATGATTTAAGATTCTCTTTATTGCTTCTGAAATTGTATATGATGTGAGTGATGATAGAGGATGTGAAAGAGCAAATCTAATATGAACTGATATAGTAAGTTGTATATGATGTTGTATACGGTTTAACTGAAATCATGACATTAGGCAGGGTAGAATAGTGGAATTAAATTCATGTAGCCAAGCTCAACTTGGGAAGGTTTTGCTGAGTTGAGGATTGTACGAGGATGCTTGGCTTGAGCGGAGGTGACCCTTTAGGAAAATATGCAGTATGCAAGTCTTGTATAATATAGTTCCCACAAATTGGTTCTGGCATGCCAGAAGTAGCCATCTTTTTTCTTCCGAAAGTTCAAGGAAATGCACGCGCACCCACATTATTGTTTCTATCACTCGGTCTCGCATGGCTCAGAATTGAAAACAAAACCAAGGGTTTTGAAGCCCTTGGTGTCCCCATCGTAAAATCCTCCTATGACAAGTCATGAATCCAAACCTCTAAAAAACAATCACATATCTCCCAACAAAATATGAAACTACCCATCCGTCCGACAACAATCATAATCCAAACCTCTAAAAAACATGACCTCTGATCGAGTCGTGCCGGCCCTCATTGGGCCAACACTTGGCATTTCCACCTTAGGTTCTGACTCCTGTCTCCAAATTGGGTTGAACACTTGAGTAATGTGAGCAGCGTCTTCATCATCGTTCTCAAATGCATCATCCATATCATCCTTGATTGATGCTTGAAGGGCTAACCCTATATTAGAATCCAAATCAAGCCAAGTTACACTACACAAGTATGTCAACTTGGAAAATATAAACCGAAATCAAATAATAGGGATAGCTTGGACTCACACGCACCCCCGATCATGCGTACTACATGCACCAGAAATTAGTTAGGCATTTGTGACTTTTCACAGTTGTATTTAATCATTTCACACTTTCCTTGCATGGGAGTTTTGATTGAATTAGGCCTAAGGAGCACTATGTTGATGATGTGTGTAGTTGTATTAACAGCTTCAGCATGGGATGACATTCTTGGCATCCCATTGTTTCAAAAGGTGGTCCCGGCCAGGGATGGTTGTTAGACATTTGGACATGGGGATGCTTCCCCAATGTTGGGGAGGTGTGGAATATACACATGTATTTCTGAGTTAGTACCTCGGAGGGTCGCATGAACTAGGACCCCAAAACGAAGGATTTACAGAGCTAAAACGTATTGACCTAAAGGTGTAGGAGCAGGTTTCGGTCAACGTGTAAGTCGTAGACTGGATTTGTAACCCAGCTGACTGGATTCGCCTAGGCACCTTTTGGCAAGGAGAGCTTAGAGCATCTCAGCTAATGCCCGCTGGTAAATGTAAGCATTTTTATGTTGTTATTGTTGCCTCTTCTTGCTCTACCATGTTTTAGCATGATCATTTGTTTTGTGATAAGATGATATTTTTATATTTCTGAAACAAACGAGAAAGTGATTGAATGAGCAATTCTCTATGGAACCCACTGTCCGCAGGCCTCCTTTCTTACAGAATATCATTGCAATATCTTCCTGATTTTGATATGAAAAACAGCTTGGAATTTCATCACCCTTTGTTTTTCCTTTCAAACAACAATGTTATTAATCACATATTCATATGTTATGTAATTGTTTGACCTTTTTCAGTGCGAAAGGCACTTGAGTGACGTTTCATAGTCCTTGTGCAAATTGGTTGTAGTATCCTGATAAACATACAAGAAACAGTAATCAATTCAAATTGTCATTCAATCTTAAGACACAAAATGTGGCTTACATCTTCAATAGTAAATCCGAGGGTCTTTAACTTAATTTTGGATTCTTTCTTTCTTTCTTTTTTATTTCAGATCTTTCTTAACTTGATTATTTCATTCTTATTCTTAAAGGATGTTTTTTGTAATTTCATCAAGAGAGCAGGTTATTTATCCTCTTTTTTTTTTTTTTTTTTTCAATAGTTTAGGAAATCTTTTTAAAGTTCAAGTAGTTTCTTTGCAAATGCTGATAAAGAATAGTATTATAGATTTAAGGGCAAATTCAACTCCATGAACTATCACTTCATTTTGATAGATTTTCCCTTTAATTATCAATTTGGCAAAAAAAAGTAAAATTTTGAAATCATACCCTCACCTCTGTTTGAGGAAGAATTAAAAATGTAGAAAACTCTTCCGACACTATTTCTTTTTGGCCATTTATCCCATGAATAAAAGAATTTACTTACAAAAGAACTTGCAATAATTTTGTAGCCAGCAGATTTTTCCTTTGACAAAAAACTTGCTGTCTCATTAGCTTCTACTAGGGCTTAAATTCTCACCTCCCACTTAAAAAATAAAAGAAATAACATTAAGCTACATTGTATGTGGTCCTAAAAAATTGACATACATGTATAAAAGAAATCTTAATAATAAACTTATAAATGCCATATTAAATAGGAGAATATGTGGGATGGTGCTTTTGGTTAGAAAGAGGGAGGTTGTGCAACTGTGAAACACTTGCTGCCAACCACCATATTTAATGGTGTATGGAATAACCAATTCTCTTCCCTTCCCCTTTTCTATTAAATCATCAGCTTATTCCCATGCATCAAAACCAATTCTCTTTTCCTTCCATCAATTTCTTTCACTTTTTATTTATATCAAACATCACAGAGGAAAAAACATGGACAAAGCACCAGAAAATCAGCAGATATCTTACTTTGATCATGTTCAGAAACGGCATGAAGATAAAGGCTGTCTCTATGCTTGGTCTGTATATTTCTCACTTTTTCTTCATTGCAATAATTTTTTTTACTATTTCATTTGTTCATATATCAAGATTCATACCACCAAAGGATTGTGTACTGAAACTTTTCAAAGTGAGTGAGTTTCTTTCCAAGAAATCACACTATTTGTGTGTGTGTGTGTGTGTTTTAACATACATATTTTTTTGAATGGAACTTTATGAAATGAGTTATTATGGTAATAAATAAGGTAGTGGATACTTTTGGCGAGGATTTATAACTCTTTTGAGTAACATTGGGGTGTTGTTTTATAAAAATTAAAAATTAAGTATAGAATATTTTAAGCGTCGAAGTTGTTAAGTGGTAATTAAAAAATAAATATATTTGTATATGTTTTTGAATTTTTAACGTTCAACATTTACTGATAAATGATGTTTTTTGTCACTTACATTTTATCTCATTTTAAATGTCGCTTACTATTTTTAGTGATATTTAAATTGCGTTATCAAACGCGCTTAATTGAATAAGAATTAAATATCAAAAAAATAACTTTTATATAATTTTCTTTATGTGTGTGTGCGTGTATATCATGTTGATGTTTGTATAATTGATGCAGCTTGTTTGGAATGTTCTGCTGCTGTTGCTGCTTTGAGACCTGCGAGAGTTGTTTGGATGGTGTGTGTTGCTGTTGTTCATAGATCAAGTATTTGCTAGTAGCATGAAATTCTTTCTATTGCTAATATTGTATGATTTGATGATTTAATATGAAATTTGTGTCGAATGATTGAATCATAGTGCTTCTACTTTATTTTCTTCATCTCAAGCAATCTCATCCAACTACTATCTTATTAATCATATGTTTTTGTGATTGTTGGGAGGCACCGAAGAGATCCTGTGAGTAATTTTGTATGGAGTTAATTAAATTTGTGAGTATTAAATCGGTGTTTTGAATTTAATTTAATTTTTAAAAAATATTTAATTAAAATTTTAAACTAAATTTTAACTAATTTCAATTATAAAGCATCGATTCAATATAGGCGTTGTGCAAATTGGTTGTAGTATACTGATTATGATAAAAGAAACACAATAATTAATAGTTTCATTCAATTTAAAGAAAAAATGGAAGAAAATGCAGCATAATCTTATTTTTTAAGGGTGGTTATTGTAATTTCATCAAGAAAATAGGTTATATATATCTTGTTTTTTTAATTTAGTAATCCATTTGAAAGTTCAAGGAGGTAATTATTTATAAATGCAGAAAATTCAAGGAGGTTTTTAGCATTTTATTCTAAAGAACTATTAGTATATATTTAAGGAAAAATAAACCCCAATAATTGTCACTATTTTATTTTTTATTTTATGGATTACTCCTTGAACAATCAATTTGGCAAAAAAAAATCCCATGAATTATTGATAAAAATTGCAATCAGCTCCTCATCTGTATTTGTCATTAGGATTCCATCAATAATTAGTAAAAGTACCAAAACACTCTTGAAGGAGAAGTAAAAATAAATAAAATGCAAAAAATTCCCATAGACAATAATTTTTTGGCAGCTTCACATGAACTGTGAATTTTGTCGAATCTTCTTGAAATATTGAAAATGTTTGCAATTATTAAGGATTTGTTTGATTTGTAATTTTAAAAATAATTTTTAAAAAATTAGACAAAACTCTTTTATAATTATCTAAAAACAGTTTTTTATTCTTTAAATTCTTGAGAACTGTGTTTTCAGAGTTACAAATCTCACTTTTGTTTTTGTTTTTCACTTAATTAATCACACTTGCACTCACACCTATTTATCATGTTAGAGCCTTGGCACGAACTTATTAAGGACTCAGTGATGACAGTTGCCTCTGCTGAAAAAAATTTTATTTACAAAAGTAATTATAAAATTTATAAAAAATATTTAAGATGTCCCTATTTTTTTTTTTTATAAAAATCTTAAAAATACCTCCACTCAATTTCTAATGATACCTTATTACATATTATTATTGTTCAAGGTCGTTCCTCCCATACAATTCTCCATCACTACTCAAACCCCACATGTCCCTACAAAAACTTTGAACCACCAATCTTTTGAAAGATGAATTTTTTATCCATTGCAAGTGTAATTATTGAAAATTGACATAGAATAATTAAATCATCATTATAATAAGCTTATTATAAATATATAACACATCGATATATATGTAGTAACACGCCACTTGTAAACGTACACGCTTACTGTAACAAGGTTTATTTGTCCCACATCAGAATCGGATGGAAAAGTGATTGGGTATAAATGGGTGGGTATGCAGTATTACTCAATAGTTCGAACTTTTTGGTAAATGGACAAGCACCCACCCGTTACAGTTAGTATCAAAGTCAGACCCAATTCTTATCCCGAATAAACAGGGTGGTCCGAACCGCAACGAAGGCGTTGATTGCATTACACTTACAATCCTGGTGTTTCAAATTTCTTTCGTGCCTAATAACTTTATTCCAAGACCCAAACTAATTGCATTCTTTTTCGAGAAAGAGTACAAAATAACTTTATTATATTTTAAGAATCTTATGCTAAATTTGGTATAGATGTATACTCCGTGTCACATCCTAATAGCTTTACCATGCGTGCATGAATTCTCTTCTTTATTAAGAAAATAAAAAATGAGAAAACTACTCTTAAAGAGATTTAAGAACCTTAAATAACAAATTGGTCTATTTTTAAAGTTAATTTTTTAATTTAGTCGAGTTAGGTAAAATAATTACATATGCATAAATAACTATTATTTATGTCCATAATACCCTCTAAACTCTTATTTCCAAATATCAAAAAATCCTTCCTAAATTAAATAATTCTTTCATTCATAAAATTTAGAAAAATATGATTTTTAAGTTGACTTTCAACTTAGCATTTTTGCATATGATGTATAAATTACCAAAATAAATAAAATAACAGTATGTCCTAATTTATATCGGTTCAAACTTGCAAATGTAAATTTAGAAATATACAAAAAATTTAGTGAAAATTCATTATGTATAGAATTTTTTATTTCGGTAAGTGTAAATTCATCCTATATATATATATATAAAATTTTAACCATATCGCTTAATTCATACCAATTTAAACCTGTAAATGTGAAAAAATTAGTATGAATATATATATACATATCTACACATACAGAAAAAGTTCCTCTACAACTTGTTAAAATACATAAAAATGTAATAGACTCACTTGGTCTTAAAATTAATCTATCATGTCCCAACGCACAATGCAAATTATATATCACATTTCCAAAATGATTACATACATATAAAAAAGGTGTACACACACACACACGGTAGAGGGAGATTATGAAAAAATTAAATGGTTGCTTCAGTAAATGGTACACCAACAATCATTTTTATTTATTTATAAACAAGTGTAATTAATTGAGTCAAAAAATTGATGATCATCTCAAGGCATGCACCATAGAAAAGACGATTTATATATTCTTGAATTTAATTATATTTTTCTTTTTGGGGACTAACCTTTGATTACCACATTTTTACTATATTGAATCTTTTTTATTATTTGTATAAGTTCTTGTGTGTGTGTGTATATATATATATATAAGTTGCAGCAATATGGTTTAAAGTTGAAGGAAAGATTTTATTTTCTTAAAATTTTTAAATAAATATATTATTTAAAGAAAGTACTTGATTTTAAGAAAATAATTTTTTGTATTTTGATATAAGTGTTTGGAGAGTATTTTGGACCTAAACAATAATTTTTGATGCATATGTAATTATTTTACTTAATTCAATCAAAATGAAAAATAAATTATTAAAATAAACTATTTTGTTATTTAAGGCTCTAAGTGTAATTTTCCCATAAAAAATTATCTTCTCTATTATTTTTCATTGTGACAAAACAAGACCTCACATTTTTATTTGTTTACTCTTACTCGTCACATTCTGTACTTTTTCATATTCTTTGTGGTTTGGTAAATATAATAAAATAAAATATTCTTTGTGGTGGGTCCACACGAGTCCAACATTTTTTAAAATTTGTTACGCCACATACTTTGAAATTAAATAACGGTCTCTAGAATATTCTAAGTTCTTTTTATTTATTTATTTATTTTTTATATCATTTAAAAGCCACAAAGGTCAGGAGGCAGTACAGAGGCATAAACCCAATCAGATAAAGGCATACAAATTGTGAAGCAATACAATAAAATGAAGAACAGGCTCCAGATTTGTTGAAAAAGAGCCACCGCTTCAGAACAGAAACCACCAAGGGAGAAGAGTAACAAACTGGAGTGATTAAAGGCGCCTCCACACACCCAACCCCGCACAAGATCAAATCAAGTTAGGAAAAAACAAAAATCGACCTAGATTAGAGATCTAGTCAAAGGGAAAACAACAGATCCACTCTGTCGAGTCTGAAACAAACCAAATAAGAGTAGATCTAGCCATACAAAAACAAAAAACGACATGAAAAATCACCTACCTACGAACTTATTATGACACACCGATATTATTAACTTGTGGGAGGCAAGCAAGGTCACCTCCCCACTCCCATGGAAGGGAGCAGGGAGCAAAGCGAAAAGGGTCGAGCGGCTGTGAGAGAGAGATGGGGAAGAGAGAATGGTAGATTTGAACACGGGCACACCCGTATGAGGAACTAGACTCTACCAATTAAAAAAGTTTATTACTCCGTAATTAAGAAGTTAAATAAAATGGTTAATTTCACTGTCGCCCAGTCAGGTTTGGCCAAATATCATATTAGAATACTTTTTAAAAATAATTATCACTCAAATTACAAATTTTTAATCCGTTTTTACTCACATCCAAAAAATTACTTTTCAGATGTGTCAGACTAGTTTGCATATAAAAGGACATTGTTACCCCCTTTAATTATGTGTTGACTTAAAAAAATGGTTGAAATGACTTATATACTCTTTACTTTGTAATTTTATAATTATCCTTTATTTATATATATATTTACAATACCATTTATTAGCTCAGTTGTGTCTCTTATGAGACTCATCCAAAAAACAATAAAAGTTGCGTCTCTTATGATTAGAGAGAAAATACATCAATGGAACTTTAAAATATATCATGAAAAATCCTTCGGTATATAGGTGTGTGTGTGTGTGTGTGTATATATATTAGAGAAAGGAGGAAGAAGAGAGAGGGTGGGAAGGAATCATGGTGGTGAAGAGCAAGCTATTATGTTAAACTGCAAAATAATAATAATAATAATAATAGTAATAATAACCATTATGTTAAACGCGATTAATAAAGAAAAAAGTTGATAGACAGTAACTAGGTAATACAAATATTTTTCGTTTTGTTTTTTTATTTTTTTTATTAAGTTCTTTCTTTCTTCTACTTTCCATCTCTCTATTTTGTCTATCTTTATCACTATTATTTTTCTTTAATTAATCACCAGAGAGAGCGAGAGCTTGAAAATTGTAAAAATGGAGGAATTGAGGTGTTGGTCCAACAATGTGAGAGAGAGGAGTGGGTAGGCGCGAGTAATTAGTGAGGGCAATTATGTCCTTTTAAATTGCTTATATTTTAAAATAAAATGAATTAAAAAATTAAGGATAGATTTGTTTTTTTCGTACATTTTTTAACGACGTTAGTGACGAAAAAGTAAAATTAAACCTACATTGATAATTATTTTCTAAAGATATTTCAATGTGATATTTAACTAAACATGTCATCTACCCACTATTTTTCTCATGACTGTAAATATAGTCCCATTCATACGTAAAGAGATTTAGGCTCCGCTCCCCTAATATTTTTTGAAAAATATTTTTTGTATTTTCAAGTGTTTGATTATCGTAAAATATTTACGAAGAAAAAAAAAATAAAACCTAATAAAAATAACTTATTCATTAATTTTCGATAAACTACATTACACGCCCTATCCGATGGACTCAACTTTGACCTCTAATAACACCGAAAAACAAAAATAAAAGAAAACATTTTACCTAGAAAAAAAATAAAAAAATGAAAAAATATTCAGAGAAAAATATTTAATATGAAGTACTCAAACTACAATGTTGGGTGTAAGAGCAACGACATCATTGGACATAAACACATCACAACCCGTGAAGCGTAGACTTATCGAGTACTTAGGGGTGACCACGGATCGGATCGGATTAGGCATCAATTCTAATCCGATCCGTGAATTACGGATTAGGGAATTTTGAATCCGCCACCAATCCGTTAGTTCACGGATCGGATCGGATCGGATCCGTGAATTCACGGATCGGATCGGATCAATCCGCTGATTGAATTATCCAAATTAGTCTATTTTTAATTTTTTACTAATTTCATATCCAATTACAAAAGTGTATAATAGAAGATAGATTAATCCAATTTAAATGCATAATAACAAGAATAATCAAACTGTAAAATATTGCATAATCAAAAGGACAGTAGTTATCCAAATTATCCGAAAAAATACTTAATTAGTTACCAAAAAAAATACTAATATGTTTTATATCAGTGTGTAATATACTAATATGTATAATACTTAATTAGTTACCAAAAAAAAATAATAAAAAAAAAACGATATGTGGCACACGGATTGCCACATAGTTGTTATATTATATATATATATATATATATATATATTTTACGGATTACCCACGGATTGCCATGGATCGGATTCATGGATCAGATCGGATTTTTGACAGTCTAATCCGTGATCTGATCCGTGAACTACGGATTCAATTTTTTAAAATCCGCCACCGATCCGTGGGTCTGGTAATTCAATCCGATCCATACGGATGAGATGGAATCGGATTCGCGGATTGGCGAATTTTTTGCCCACCCCCTGCAACTACTAGCCTTGGATTCTCATATCCAAGGGCAGTACACAGTGGGGGGACAGAGAGCAGCCAAAATTGCTGCCCAATGCCTAGCAACGGGTCCCGAGATGAGGGGCCCAACATGAGTGACGTGGTGAAAAGCGTGGGAGGAGCTTCACTGTCAGGACGACTTAGAAAGACATGGAAACTCCTAAAATCCGAATCCCCCCTCCAAAATAATCAGATCAGCAATTCAAGGAGCCTGACACAATGTTAATGTTAACACGAGCGATGCAATTCATGGAATTCAAATGCTTACATTTTTCCACTACCAATGCTTGCAATATGAAAAACACTTCTTGGCCTTACAAGACACATATTGCTACTTTTAAAGATAAGAAAGCACAAACTATATAGCATCTCCTTCTGAGCTACAAAAATTAGCTGGGCTTTAAATGACCAATTTTGTAATTTTTTATTATTTTTTAATTCTTGATCCAAGCAAATAATTCACAAGCACTGCATATATGGAGACTCTTCAACCTTTTCCCCTGAGTTTTAACACTTGACGGTAGGTATAACTTTGTAATCGAAAAATCAAACGGAATGTAACCCCAATAGTATATCCTTTCTTCTCCAATTGGAGACATGGAGGGGTGTGTTTTTGCTTTTTAACTTCCAACCAAAAAAAAAAATTGTAATTGAAAAATAGTTTTTTTTTTCCCCTTTTCTTTTTCTAAAATGAGGCTACACAATGGGGGTACCCTCCCCCTACAACTCAATTCCCATTCAAAATAAAGGCGGGTTTTGAAGCAAGATATCTCACATCTACATATGTAGTCCAGTCTGAAAATAGCTTATATAGGACTACTTTTCTCATTGATGATGCTCTTTACTAAAGCTTGCCTAAGCCAACGAATTTTCAGCAAGAACAAAAAATGGGCTTTGCTTATTCTAACCTTCCATCAGAATGGATTTCTTCCTTCATCAATTTCAATGAGAAGGAGATGCTCTGGATCTGAACCATTTGGTCCTTCTGAGTAGAGTGTGGGGAGGTAAGCCTTGTATGCTGGCAAGTATCGTGACACAAAATCCATAATCTGCAGATAAGAAGAGTCAGGAAAAGAAAAAAAACTTCAAATTTTGGAATTTGCTGCTGGTCCTTTCAAAGCACTGAATCAGGAAATTCAATAAGAATACACATGGTCAAGCCCACCTCCTCATCAGACATCCCGGGTTTTCCATCCGCCCTCATAGCAATCTCTGCCTGCAATTTCCCACGAGTAGTAAAACAGCTATTGCTAGCAATAAGAATTTTCTTAGAGAAAATTGCGCTTGTGAACATGATGCCAACCTGCAATCGCCACTGGTAGACACAATCCGGGTCTTTAATTTTAATAACTATCCACGCTTTTATGAACTTGTCCCATGCATCATAACAAGCTTCCAAATTTTTGTTCACTGCCTCCAGCTGTAAAATTATGCTTCATCTTCAGCTAAAATGGCCCCAGTAGTCCAGTAAAAACTAACATAATGCGATAATGAATCCGCATAAAATGAAGAAGACAAACATGCCCCAGATCTAACTTGAGTTCTCTAACCTGTGGGTCAACAGCTTTGACGACTTCAGTGGGAAGGGGTTTAAAACCAAGCATCCAACCCTCAAACAAAATAGCCTAATTGATCCAACAAAAGACATATAAATAGTGAGGGGAACAAAATTACAAGTCTTTCTATGGAGGAAAGTTAAGTAGAGACAGACATTTAACCTGAACCCACAAAGCGAACCATGCCACCCAATCTAACCAGTTTTCAGTTTGGCGCTTGTGCCATTTGATTTGCATCAAACCATAGTTCAAAGTTATAGTTAATATTTTTCATGTCATTCAACTTTAGAAATATCATCATTATTTTTTTTCCTAAATAATATCATATCATTATTTTAATATAACCTGGATCGAAATGGAGGTAAAGTTTTGTACCAATCCAATTTCAACCCAATTATTGCCAGCTTGGAAATGAAAATCCTCTTACCGTTAGAGGCCCTTCAACCTCTGGCCATGTTGAAGGATCGGCTCTGTCGCCCCTACCTTTATATGCAGACTGCATGAGAGCAAACAAGGAAACTTGAACTAAAAAGTTGATTGATGATCAAGTAACTTTAGTTTGTTGTGTGCTTACTTTATCATATCGAGGAAGCTTCATCTTCAACCCTGGACAGCTTTGATACATAAATGATTTTCTACTTTGAATAATGATATATTGAAACTAGATGAGCATAGAATGAAGGAGACTCACCTTCTTTAGTCAATTTGCCTAGAGCTGTCAGTGTTTCAATGGATAATGAAAGATCGTGGCTTCCAGCATTTCCCCGTAGCTGGGCATAAAGATATTTTCAATTATTTAGTTACTAAAAAGTCACACCAACTTTGTTGAGTTGAAAATTTGTTAAAAAAAGATCTTGATTGCCACCTCTAAAAGTGCATTCCCTGGATTATTTTCTCTCAGTTTGGCCTAAAATCAAATTGAAACAGCATCAGAAAATCTGAACACAAAGAAGAATAGGGGAAGTAAGAGGCAGAGCTGCATTGAATATTTACCTGATTCTCTGCAGTTAAATAAAAATCATCTATGGAGATAGTTGCAGACTTCCTGATATAGACATGTGTCAGCAGTAACAAATTTCCTTTGTTTTCTCATAATTTTATTGGAATAACAGGATTCCATACAGGCAAGCAATAGATAGCAGTCGGCAAATACCTCCCAGTGACTCGGAAAAGATAATTGAGTGCAAAGACAAGTGTAGTCTTTCCACAACCCTGCGGTGCACTAAAACCAATCTGCATCACAAAAAGATGACAGCTTAGCAGTTTCTACTGTTTCCTGATGACCTGTATAACAGTGTCCATTAATCATATAAAACAACACAATTGAAGAGAGTTAAGTTACTGACGTCCAAAAGAAAGGGGGAAAATAACAAATAAAGGATGGTTTGAACATTTTTAAAATATACCACTAAAGGAGGGATATCTTCAGCATCTTTAAACATGGAACTGTGATGAGAAATTTGCTGTTCACACCACAAGAAGACCGGTATGTAATAGTGGTAGAACCTAGCTTTCTGAGGTATTGTCAGGTAAAGTTCATTGAACTGAAACAGTCTACATAGGTGTACCCCGTATTCTAACCACTTGTCAATGGACTCAGCCACCATTTCTGAGGTCAGACCCAATTTGTTTATAAGGGGACCTGAGCATATAAATTCAAAAAGATCCTGCACAGACGATACTTCTGCAGGTGTTGTGGGAAACACCGAATGTGATATACCCTGCCTTCTCCTGTTGGCAACAGTATCATGACATCTGGAATTGTTTTGCATCCATGAACTTCCAGGGCCTGCATTGATAATTTCTGATATAAAAAAGAGGAAAAATAGAAAATCCAACATCAACTATAAAACAGTAATAGCAAATGTTTTTGCAGCAAATGGATGCTTCACTGCAAGATACAAAATGCACTAGAGATATCAAACAGAACAAAACAATCAATTCTAATGGATAGCTCCTGCATTCCATGTTGTAAATGAAGAGGGCTATACTAAAAGTCAACGACCACATTTTCAGCATTAGTAGAATTGACTATAACGAGAATTCTACTGTCTGATTTCCACTAAATAAGCAACGATAAACTTATTGGATATGATTTTCAAACTTGAAAGCTTTCTCCTACATAATTTTTCTCTTATAGGCCATCTAAAAAACAGCCTCCAAAAACCTTAGAAGTAGAAAATTAGTCGCCAAAACTCAATTTGTGTCTTGTGCCAGTGTTGCCAACTTGTAATTCGGGACATGAGGAATTGTAAAAAAACCAAAACCCATGTAGGGAACATAAATTAGTTTAAATCTAATTCAATGTATTGCTAGGCCACTAAGAAAATTCATGGTTGCAGCAGAATGTAACAAGGGAATTTTTTTTTTCTTTTCCATAATGTAATAACTAATGAAAAATGAAAAATAAAAAAAGGGATGAGATATGAAACAGATTGATTGGGTTAAAGACCACTTGCCCTGCTAAATGCTTACTTCATTAACAAATGTGGTTGTGTGTGAGAAGCAGTATCAAACATTATTGAATAGAGCTAAACTGCAAATGATACACTTTAAACTAATAATACTAAATCTAATGCTCCCTGAAACATTTCCAAAGCTTGTCCTTTGGTTCCAAGAAAGCTAAGAATAGAATCTAACATAATATTTCAACAATATCGCTTTCAAGAGAGTAAGAGAAGGATGAATGATTTCCTTCGACTATGCCAAATAGTTGTTTTAAGCGCGGTCAAACAACTGGCTACCCAAATTAAGAAAACCAACATACAAAATTTTCTTTCATTGTCATTCCCAACATTTTTCATGCAACCAAACTGAGCATCATGTCCCACAAAAAAGGAAAAACAAAGTGATAATGGAAAATGAGAAGAAGAAAAAATAGTTCCAAGACTCAATTCCGTGTCTTGTGCCAACGTGTGTGTGTGTGTGTGTGTGTGTGTGTGTGTGTGTGTGTGTGTGTGTTTTGAAAGGTAAAATTTGGAGTGTCTGTCAGACAACCGTGTAACCACCCCAGCCGGATCAAACCAGCTGAACCTGGTTTTCCGTGAATGAGTACCACAGGACTATTAATCCCCTGGTTCATCCACCAGACTTTGATTCCTATCTCGTTAGAACTCAAGGATACAGAGGTACAAGCCTATAGAACAGATCCTGTTCAAGTAAGGTCTTGTCCCAGTGTTGCCAACAGGCCCAACATTTAATTCGGTACACCAGACAATGTGAAAAAGCCAAAAGCCATGTAAAAGAATAGAAATTAGCTAAAATCCAATTCAAATTATTGCCAGGCCACCATGAGAATACATGATTGCAGCAACATGTAACAAGGCAAGTGGTTTTTTTTCTTTCTTTCTAATATCTATCTATCTATCTGTATATATATATATATATATATATATATATATATATATATTTGAGAATGTAATAACTTATTAGGGAAGTTATAATGATATTTGTCATTGGAGATTAAGCCAGTATCACAAATAAAAAAATAAAAAAGGGATAAGATATGAAACAGATTGGTTGGGCTAAAAGACCACTTGCGCAGCTAATCCTTCTTTAAAAAAAATTGTGGGTGAGAAGCAGTACCTCACATTGTTGAATAGAGCTAAACCACAAACGATGAACTTGAAACTAATAATAATTTAACAATTGCTGAACTAAATCTAATACTCTCTGACTTTCCATAGCACGTCCTTTGGTTTTAAGAAGGCTTAAGATTAGAATCAACTACAAAATTTTCTTTCCTTGTCATTTCCTACACTTTCTATGCAAACAAACAGAGCATCATGCCCCCATAAAAAAGTCCCTGGAAACATAATCGTTACATTCGATATAAATTCTCATTGAAATTAACAAAATCCCTGAAGATATTGCGAAAAGAACTAAATAAAAATCAGTGAACATTCGAGTGAGAGACGAGATATTATTACCTGATTTGGAGAATTGAGATAACATTTGAGAAGGCATGGAAGAGAGCTTCGATTTGGTGGTTGTTGCTTCTGATTTAGAGCGAGAGAGAGTCGAAACGACGGACAATTGGTTATATATATAATAATTATCATTATTATTATAATTAATATAATTACATACAGAGAGTGAAGTGGTCGTCGTCAGCAATGGCTTCGCTGGCTTGGATAACATATTCGAAACCGCCATCTCTCTCCTTTCCACTCTCTCTCACTCTCCCCTTTCTCTCTCTAAACGCGGGCAATTCAGCTTAGGATAGACTAGAGCGATAGAACTGACGAGTGTCCAACTGTGACATAAGTGGAAGTACGAAAATGCCCCCAGTCCAGTTTGGCACTCCTGTTCTGAATTGTAACGATTAATTGCAATTACCAAATTGGCGCGATAGATTGGTAATAAATTGTACAATTTGGTTCAATTTTAGGTGTCAATGACGAAAAAATAGCCACCCAATTCATAATTTTTTTTTATTTTATTTCCAAGGCAAGAAAATCTTTCATTAGATGAAATAAAATATGAATACAATCCATACAAGCTCTCTCTTCTATGAAAGTTGGGAAAACATACATAAAAAAAAATATGAAGTTTCTCTTCTCTGCATAGCATACTGGGCAAGACTATGAGCCAAAATATTTACCTACCTCTTCACCCAACCAATCTTTCATTGATCAATTAGTTTTATATAAGCCTGAATATCTCCCCAAATAACTTCAATGTCAACTAAAACTTTTGATGGATTAATAACCAAACTACAACTCCTTCAATCTCCATTTCTATTAAGTCCCATGTTTGAGCCCACTTTAAGGCTAATCTTGCAGACATGGCTTCAACTACTAGTGCATCAACTACTAGTGCAGAAGTCACATTTGCAAAGAAATGGATGACCGCCTTTAAAACCTTACCCTTACAATCTCAAAGAACCAAGCCACTAACAGCATCTTTGGTGTGATCTCTATAGGCAGCATCAAAATTCAGCTTCAATCCATTTTCTGCAGCAGTTTTCCGTCGCACAACATCAGATTGAGAAGAACTAATCATCCTAGCTTCATGGCTGCCTTTAATAACCTCTTGATACTCATTCCAATGGTGAAACGCTAACTGCATTAGAGCCCTCTCCCCAATCTCTTTCTGCTCATAATAAAATCGATTTCTACTTTTCCATAAATACCAACAAACATAGACAATTAAGCTCAAATATAAATCTCTGTACTCTGCCTTTTCCCACAATTTCATTAGATCACAAAACCAATGCATCCATGTATTATTTTGGAAACAAATAGGATCCAATCTGATAGGGCAAAATTTCCACACTTTAACAGCATAACGACATCTCAACATCACATGCTCAATAGATTCACTATCTAAACCACACCTCAAACAAATATCAAATTCCACAACTTGACGCTTCTTTAGATCTTCTAAAACTGGGACAATCCTGTAAACACAGCTCCAAATAAAGTGATTCAATTTCTCCTTCACCTTAAGCTTCTATATTTTGTCCCAAATTCCATTAACAGCAGCACATCCATCAATTATTCTCTCATATCCCAACGATCTAGTAGCTCTTTGCAACCACTCGAGGGTAACCTTGTATGCAAACTTCACTATAAAACTTCCATCATTTGAGAAGTGCCATACTTTTTTTATCCCTCACAATAGTTTCACTTAATGGAATTGACAAAAAAAATTTAAACTCTTTTTAAGAAAAAAACTGAGAAATAAGCTAATATTCCAAGATTTTGAATAAGGATCCACTAAGTCCTGAACTGTGCGCAAATTACACCCCGTAAGACAAGGTGAAGAAATTTTAAAATCTGAAGAATTTGGAATCCATGGATCAGTCCATACCTGCACTACAGTCCCTGTACCTACTCGCCACCTCAGGCCTCTCTGCGCAACCTCTCTGGATGAACATATGCTCTTCCAAGCCCAACTTGAATTACCTCTTATTCTGGCCTCGAAAAAAGAATTATGAGGGTAATACTTTCCTTTGTAAATTATTGAGAGTAAACTACCATCCTCCACAGTTGGCCGCCATCCTTATTTAGCTAAAAGTGCAATATTAAAAGCTTCGAGATCTCTAAAACCCAAGCCAACCTCTTGCTTATTCCTGCACAACTATTCCCATTTTAACCAACACAAGTTCTGTCCTTCCTTAGACCCAGACCACCAAAAGTGCATAACTTTACTACTCAGACTTTTGCAAACTCCCACATGAAGCTTGAAACAACTCATGGTATACGTAGGAAGGGCTTAAAGAACAGACTTAATAAGAGTCTCCTTCCCAGTAGTAGAAAAGAAACAATCTTTCCACCTTTTTATCTTGTCAACCATTCTGTCTTCAAGATATTTGAAAATTTGTTTTTTGGATCAACCAATCTCAGTTGGCAGCCCCAAATCCCCGTCAAACCTTTCCCCTATGACAACTCCCAACCTTCTACTCAAATCTTCCCTCTCATCAACCGGGACATTAGCACTAACAATAATGGAAGATTTTGAGTAATTGATTTGTTGTCCTATTAATCTCTCATACATGAGCAGCAGCTGTTCAATACATTTAGTTCTCTGTCATTTGCTCTACAAAACACCAAAGAATCATCAACATATAGCAAATGAGGTACAGTTGGCCCTCTATTCATTCGAATCCCAAAGAAATGTCTATCAGTCGTTGCCTTGTTAATTAACTTGGTAAGTCCCTCTGCACATAACAGGAATAAGTAAGGTGATAAAGGATCACCTTGTTTAATCCCTCTAGATGGCACAAAGAGATCCCCAGTACTACCATTCAACAAAATAGAGTAAGAGACAGTACTAACGGTTTCCATATCCGCTGTAATCCAATTGTCATCAAAACCCAATTCACAATTTACTGGTGAGAAAGTTTATTTATTTATGTTCATTGTGTGGGAATAATCAAAAAGTCAAGACATGATTAAATAAAGAAGTAAATAGTATCTCCTTAAAATAGAAAGAAAAAATTTGTGAATTATTTATTAGATGGGTTGTATTTAATTTTTAAGAGATAAAACTTATGCATAAAGTGAGTATAAAAATGAGAATGTTGAGATTGATATACAGTAAAATTTAAAAAGAATTAAGTTTATGAGATGATTAGAGTATCACTAATTGAAAATGAAATGAAACAAAAATGGTTAAAACTATTCGAGATGCCGCAAATAATTTTTTTACCAGGAAGGGAAAGAGTAAAAAATAAGGTAAATAAAGTTATTAAGAAATGATCACGACCTCAAATTGAAAGAAAAGTAAATATTCACCGACTCTAAATTGCTCTAAAAAAAACAAAAAATAAAAAAAAACAGCTTTGGTTGTTGTTGAGGGATCAGACTAATCTCCCACAGAGCAAAAATATTGGTCCAACTTGTGAATTTAATTTAAAAATATAATACCATCCTAAATTTTACAAATTTTAAATTAATTTTTTTATAAATTATAATATTATAGTAGATAGTAATATGTATAATAATAAAAATAATTTAAAACTATATTTACAGTTAATTATGAAATTACAGTATTCTCCATCATCCAATCTTAAAAAAAAAAAAATACAATCTTTTATCGAATGATGTTGCATCTATCCCTGCCAAAATTTGTTGTCCTCCGTGCATTTCTCGACTTGAAATAGGACAATACAATCACTATTTTAGACCTGTTTTTATCAAATAATAGTTTAATATAAATTCTAATTAGTTTTAAAGAATAGTTTTTTTAATTTCTAATCAGTTTTAAAGATTACTATTATAAATTGTAATTGAACAAATTTTCAAAAAGTTTCCATATTCCTTTTGTAAGCACTGACTTGAATCAAAATTTTAATTGTTCTCTTCAATTGCAGTAGATTTGGCGCTGCCCCAAAAAAAAAAAAACTAAATTAGAGTCTATATTTATTTTTCAGTGGAATGAAACAGTGAAGCATTTAAAATGCCTGTATTTTAAAATTCCTGTATATGGGTCATACATTGTTTAATTCTGTTATTTCCCACTGATGGAAGTTGAAATTTCAGAGGAATTTAATCTAATTATGGATCTGGTTTTTGTTCCCCTCGTATTAGAAAGCCAATGGAGTGACACATAGACGAGTCGGTTTTTGTGTTCGCGTTTGGTAGAGAGAGAGAATAGAGAGAGAGAGAGGCAGCATTCAATTAGGTCTATTAAACAGTCAAGTGGTTGTTTTTGGATGATTTTAGACAGAGAGAGATGCTTATCTATCTGATCTGTAATGGATAATCCAAATCCTCCTTTTCCATCAACATTCAGAACAATACAAAGTCAAGAGATGCCATTACGCAACACAAGCACAGAGTCTCACATTGATACACAAACTTTTCGTCTTCTTTTGGCTTTGCCTTTTTGTAGTTGTTGAGACTCTTTCAAAGCAATTGGTTGGTAATGGCGTGCGATATATATGACTGGCCTGTTTTGCGTAATTGCAATCTATATCCACATCTGACGAAAAGTGCATTTGCTTTAATCTATTGAGTACTGAGAATGCTTTTTTGTCTTTAAAGCTTGGAGGGACCGTTTTGGTCATTGTAGGCGAGAGAAGGTGAACAGAGACAGAGAGAGAAAGAGTTGGTGAGAGTCTGAGAGATGGGTTCGTCTGGAATGCTAGCTAAGAGGGCTTTACTCACTAATACACCCGTCATGGTTCAGGTATGATCACGATAATTTCAAGCCCCAAATTGGGTTTTATTGTTCTTTGTTAGCTGGTTTTTCTCTCGATCAATCTCTACAACTTTATATGTTAGTTGTGTTTGTACACTTGATTATACATTTTTTTTTATTTAAATTTTTTATTATTAATATATGCATGCATATTTACATGTTTCCAGTGCATAATGTAATGGCGTTTTGATTGTAAATGGGTTTTGTGTTTGCAGATACAGGAGCTGATCCGAGGTGCTAAAGATGCAATGTCTCTTGCTCAGGTTTATTTTACTCTATTCAATGTTTTTCAAAGTAGTTGTTTAATAATTGTTGTTGGCCTGGTGGAAATGGAGTTCGAGAAATTTCAGAAAATGTGAGGAGTTTCCTTCTGTCCCTGTTCTTAAATCTATGACTCAGTTTTTCTATCCATATGTTTGTGGCAAATACATTATTCCCCCAATTTGACTTGTCTAAGTTGCTGAAATTATAGTGACACTGGACGTCTTTAGATGTTAAATATTCATATTATGAGGAGAAATTCCAATCTGTTGAAATATTCAAGCAAATGACTAAATGCTTCTAGTAATTAAAGAGCCACGGATCAAATTTCTGATTGAATTTTTCCGTGCACAACTAAAATCAGTGGATTGGTTTCGGTATCTTAATACCATGATTTTGAGTCCATGACTGAGCTGAGAACAGGGTCATTGTTTAAGCAATGGTGCTTATGTAAGGTGGTCTGAGGTGGGAGTGAAACGAACGTTGTTTGTGGGCTGGATGGCTCAATGTGAGCTATAAGTTGAAAACTTTACCCATTGACAAAATGTATCCAATGTCAGTTTCCATGTGGGTTTCACTGGTTCAAAGGCACAAAGCCAGAAACCTTTTACTTGGTCGCTGTTTTAAGTGACAGTTGCATTGGTAGTTTATGATTGTGTGGATGATGGGCTGTTCTATTATAGAAAGATCTGTTTTAGTTGTTCTAGTATTGAGTAAAGAGATGATTCCAGATGAATTAGACTATCTTTTTATATATCCTTTTTTTTTTTATTTTTTTATTTTTATTTATTAACTTTCTTTTTATCTGGTGGATAATAATATTTAAAAGAAACCTGTTTTTAGGTGTAGTAACTACTGTGGCATTTTAAGATATCAATTATCCCATAAGACCTCATTTAGATAAAAGTTTCCTTGGCTTTCTTCTTTCATTTTTTGGTGTGGTATCATAAAGATCCAAATCCTATAGGTGGGACTGATAACTGCCCCACTTCTCCATTACATGAGTTTCATCTCGTGTGCAAATTTTTATTGGGATCAATGTCATTCTGATTTGCCCCAATGTTTTATTGGGGTATTTTCTCTGTTAATCTTTGAGGAAGTCCTTCCTCACTTGATGGTTAAATTTCATGTTTAGGGTGGGGGTGAACAAGCAGCTTAAGCTGGATGTTACAGCATGGACATCATGTTCTGTGAAATTCTGAAACTGGAAGCTCAGTCTTGCATCTGCCTCTCCTGTTTAACCAACATGGGACTTCTTTAAAGATCAAATAATATTATTAACATATTATGGTTAATGTGGACTTCATATTGAATGGACCGCCCCACTAACATGACAATACTAAATCAGTATCTGGTAGTTCAGTAACTACTTCAGAGTTATAATGCAATCAGTGATATTATTGATTTGGTAACTTGATTTTGATTTAGTTTTGCCCTTTTGTTGGATTTGGCGTGTAATGTTACTTGGTAATATCTGTCTTGACAACAACATTGGCAGCATCTCATTCTTTGATTATTATACTCTCATTTAGGGGGTAGTGTATTGGAAGCCACCCAAACAGGCACTGGAAAGGGTAAAAGAACTTGTTTGGGAGCCTTCAATTAGTCGATATGGTGCTGATGAAGGTCTTCCTGAGCTCAGGCAGGCATTGATTGAAAAGGTATAATCAATTGATTCTAATATTTCCAGTTGAAGACTTGTAATGTTTAGAGATTCTGATAAGGCTAAACAAGCAAGATTCGTGATTTTATTGTCTTAGCTAAAACCATGTTTATATTATGTTTCTTTGTAATAATTTGAATTTGGTTTTTGACCACATGACTGGGCAACTAAAATTTTCTCCTCTGCTACTCATTAATTAACCACTTTTTCTTTGTTTTGCAGTTGCATCAAGAAAATAAGTTATTCAAATCTTCAGTGATGGTTACTGCTGGTGCAAATCAGGTGACAAGGCATGCTTTATATGTTGTTAGTCTTTTTCCTCAAACTCCCCAAAACCAACCCCCCCTCCTCTCTTCCCTTTTTTTTTTTTTAAAAAAAACTTTGTGAGGTAATTAAAAAAAATTGTCTGGTTCTGTGGAAGTTACCAAAGCTAATTGGAAGGGTCTGAGATTTTATTTAAACATTGGTTCGTATTCCATAGGGAAATACTGAAGAGTGAAAAGGTGCAAAAGAAGTTGTGTGATGCCTCGTTGTATTTATGTGCTATTAGAGCTGCTCTTGTTTCATTGTAGTTAATATTGACAGTTGCGCTTTTGTCTTCTCTAGATTGGGTGTTTCTCATGTTATTATTATTATTTTCTCTCATCTAATCAATTTCGCGGTATGGAGATTGCCTCCCTTAACATCCATGCAACATTTTTGATAGGATGCAAATGGGGTGTTAAGAGGCATAATTTCCTTCAGAAGAAAGAAATTAGTGTACCTAATTCTCCAGTTCTTTTTTTTTTTGATCTCATGTGTTGGTAGTTCTCTTTTTTATTGATCATATCCAATCTTTTTAGATGTTTAGGGGCCATTGCTTAGTGCACTGGTAAATTCCTCAGTCTATCAAGCGTGATGATGCAAGCTTGAATCCCGAGAGCAGTCATTTTGTGCAATTAATGCCAAATATAATGTCTTTATATAGTCGACCCTCCTAGCACCCTCGATAAATGGGGACCACGCTGGGTAATGATTCCTCCATTTTTTTTTTTTTTTTTTTTTTTTTTTTCCGACTCTTTTTATCCAATAGGCTATTTGAAAGAACTCCTACAAATTTTGGGAGATTGGAATTAAGAAGGTATAGAATGACAGCTATAAAGATGAATGAGAAATGGGCATGTGCCATACATATGTGATATTCTTTCTCTACATATTATTATGTGCATTCTACACTTTTTGCTATTTTCTAGACGGTAATGATCTCTTGCTCACTGGTGAGGATGAAATTTATCCACGCCAAGCATGATGACAGTTGGATATGAATGCTATCTTTTTTGTGGTAACTATCGTTTTTAGACTTGAATCATATCAAACGGTCATCATGCTTGGTGTGGATAAATTTCATGCTCACCGGTGAGCAAGAGATCATTACCTATTTTCTGGATATCAAAACCTGAGTTTCATATATGTCAAGTAAGACTGCCAACTTTCCTTCACTGTAAATTCTTATCAGTTTATAACTGTTTATTTTATTTTTTATCATAAAGAATGAGTATTGAATTTCATGATTGTTTGTATCTGTGCCTATATTTGTTATTTTTCATCCATTCTATAAAGATTTTGAAGGCAGTTTCTTTCTTTAAATTACAGGCATTTGTGAATATTGTTCTTGCATTGTGTGATGTAGAGGATTCTGTGGTTATGTTTGCACCATACTACTTCAATTCTTATATGGCATTCCAGATGACTGGCGTAACTAACATTCTGGTGGGTCCCTGTAATCAGAAAACTCTCCATCCTGATGCAGGTTAGAAACTTTGTGAACTGTTCCTGGTGCATAGGGATGTGTCCTGGAAACAGTCACCTCTCTCTCTCTGTTGTTTCAGGATTTTGAGATTTAATTCAAATTTTCTGATTTTTTTAGTTGCACTGAGTGTGTACGGTTTTGATCTGGTGGCTTAGAATGGATGGTGACTCGTAAGCTTACTTGTGGAAGCTTATCTCCATTTACTTCTTTATTGTAGATTCAGAATATGAAGTATTAAGAACTACTTTCTCCAGCTTGAATTTTAGTAACTTTTGGAATTTGGGCAGATAACTGGGTTGCTGTTTTCCATTGGTGTATCGTACTTGTATTTCTTTTTTCTTTAATCTTTGGATGAAATAATCTTTTCTTCATCTTTTTAATGGTTCTGGTTCCAGATTTTGAGAAAATGCGGTTACTCTGGAGTTGGTTTACTTTATTTTTTGAACCCACTCAATTGTCATAGTCAAGTAATAAATGTTTTGCTATGTTAGTGTATCTATGATGTTGTCCATAAGATACTGTTGTGAGAGAAACATTGGAGATTTTATTATTGTTCCGTTCGAGTTAAGCATTGGAAGAATTGAATAAACAGTACATGTTTTTCCTTGATTTGATAATGATTTTATTATTGTTCTATATGAGCAAACATTTATCAGTATTTTCTTGATTTTCAGATTGGTTAGAAAAGACTTTACTGGAAACTAAACCAACCCCAAAACTTGTTTCCGTTGTTAATCCTGGCAATCCATCTGGAACTTACATTCCTGAGCCTCTTCTCAAGGTCTCTCTCTCTATATAAGTGTGTGTGCGCGCACGCGTTTGTGTATATACATATATTATTGTGAACAAATCAGTCTGAAGCTTGTCACTATCAATTAACAGTTGAGAATGAGCTTTTTCCCCCTTCCTGTTGTAGAATATTTTTTGACACCTTTCACTTGTTTTATTTCGTTTAAGTAGAGGATTTCAGATCTCTGCAGAGATGCTGGATGCTGGCTTGTTGTAGATAATACATACGAGTAAGTATATTAGTTCTTCCTTTCCTGAAAACTCTTCGTATAATGATACTTTCTCTTGTTGTTTTTCTACTATGCTTGAAGATATTGCCAGTGACTGTTCTAGACATTGCATGTGCAGGTACTTTATGTATGATGGTCTGAAACACTCCTGTCTCGAGGGCAACCACATAGTCAACATCTTTTCCTTCTCTAAAGCATATGGGATGATGGGATGGCGAGTTGGATATGTAAGTAATGGTTGCTTTTCTTTATGTTTATTCACAAATCAATTTGTTTTCTTTGGTAACAAATATAAAGTGTTTGCTTCCTTTTAAATGTAATATTAAGCTTGCTAAGAACAAATGGTATGATTAAATAATGCTTAACTTGTATTCTCTTATCTCATAAGCAATTATTGCTTCTCTTCTTAAATTCACACCACGCGATCATTCTTTGTATTCTTACTTTGACAGGATATTTTCCAAAGCCAAGATCTATCCTTACACCGCCAGTTTACGCCATTAATATCTCTTTATAGAAGTAGTATCATTTTGAAGTAGATGACTTCATGTGATACTATAATCTTTTTTCTTCTAAGATATGAATAATGTGTATTATCAAACACGATTAAAATTTTGTGAGGTGATAAATAATTTGCTTTCCAAGAAAATGATTGTTATTTGCTTCTAAATTTTCTTCCTGTGCAAAGACTGATCTTTTAAAATTTCAAGTGGCCAAAATGGTTACAAATCCATGCTACATGTGCTAATAAATGTAAATCATTCAAAAATGGGTTCTCCCTCTTGGACCATCGTGTTTGACCTGATCAGTTCTAAATCATGTCCTCACCTTAGCATTCCTGAACATGATGAAAACCCCTAGTTTGAGGTATCACATGAACAACTTTATCCCGTATCCACAACTTAATTTTAATATCTTACTCTTTTAAACTACCAGTCTTGCACAGCCAGCCAGAAGTTCTCTCACTTCATAATTCTCCTTATCTCAAGTTACATCGTTTATGCCATAATACTCGACTCCAGTAGCACCTACTCTTCTTGTAGTAGCAGAAAGTGGGATGGATTTGTTTAGGTTTTAGCTGGATGAGTGGAAGGACAATAAGGCTAGAGTGCTTGGAGGAGGACTAGAGGAACAAAAGAAGAAAGGTATATTGTATACACGATAGAGAGTAGTAGGATGGAAATTTTTTTGGTGCCAAACAACAGAATAATCCCTTTTTATTATCTTCTTTCTTTGTTTTCATCATGCTTTCTTTTCCAATTATTACATCTTATCTGATCTTAAAGCCTAGCTTATTTACCTCAATGATGTTTGTTTAATGTTGCAATGACTCTTCTAAATCGTACTTAAATTGTGAAGCTGTAAAAAATATGGGGGCTATTGCTTGGGAAATGGTAAAGTTCTGACAAATGAGTGTGAGAACGCGAGGTTAAGTCTCAAAGCATTCAACTTTGTGTAAAAATTATGGTAAAAGTTAGTTGTCTCTAGTCTACCTCTACCAGCACCCATGTTATTGGGACTGGCCCTAGATGACGGCCTTTGGTATCTTGAATTCAACATCTTCTCATTTTTTCATTATTTTGTTCATACTGGCACTTGCTTTCTTTCTCTTGCTTTGAGATAGAAATATATTCTTTCTAACACATACTTTCTGCTTTTATTTTCATATTTAATACAAATATTAGTGCTGCAAATAAGAGTTTGTTATCTTCAATTTCTCAGATAGCATATCCTTCAGACGTGGAGGGCATTGGAGCTCAGCTCCTCAAAATCCAAGATAATGTTCCGATTTGTGCTGCTGTAATCTCACAGCGCCTGGCTCTACACTCCTTAGAAGTGGGACCTGAGTGGGTGACGGAACAGGTGAAAGACCTCGTCAAGAACAGAGCTCTTGTTCTAGAAGCATTATCACCCCTGGGAGAGGATGCCGTTAAAGGAGGAGAAGGTGCAATTTACCTATGGGCAAAACTTCCAGATAATTACCTGGACGACTTTGAAGTAGTTCGTTGGCTTGCTAAGAGGCATGGGGTGGTTGTGATCCCAGGAAGTGCAAGCGGCTGTCCAGGGTATGTAAGAATCTCATATGGAGGGCTAATAGAGGATGAATGTCGAATTGCTGCAGGGAGGCTGAGAAGAGGGTTAGAAGAACTGGTGAGAGACGGAATGGTACAGTGACTGCCCTTAAGCAACTAATGCAAATCCATAGCCAGTGCGTTTCTGTTCTTAATAATTGGGGGGTTTTCAGGTTCTGTGTAATTCATCTGAAACATTAATGCCATTCCATTACCAATAAAGTTTGCATGAGAAATCATTTATGAAGAAGTATGACCATTGTGATGAACATGTGGTAGTACATTTCTTGTGCATGCACTTGCATTAGTGGAGAGCACTGCTAGCCAATGCATATGGAAATACATTTCCTTTGCACTTGCTATCTTGTGGCGATCGTGGCCTGATGAGGGATCGTGGTTGCCATAGTCGCGACTGTGGTTAGCATTATTCTTTAACTTATCATTACAGGATTATATTTTTTATATAGAATGTGCTATGTTGAGAACATTGAATTGAGACATGTACCAGAAGTTTCATTCCATTCTATGCAGGGTGGTTTACTGTCTTACTGCAGATACAGTTGGCTTAGTTAGTATTAATGTGAGGTTCAGAAGCTGGACAGTTTGTAAATGTCAATAAAAAACCAATTGCTATGCTCTGAAGGGTCTTGTGTGTTCTACTGATTGAACATATACTCTCAGAAGACTAGTTAGACACTTTTTTTTTTTCCTAAACATGTTTTTAGACTAGTTGCAAACCAGTTCTGCCAAAAAACATATTAAATTAATCAACAAAAAAAAAAAGCAAATTTTAGTGCCAACTTTTCAAGTTTTGTTTTTCAAATAGAAGAGATGAAAGAAAGGAAAAGATTTTTGTTACATGAGGTGAAAAGATAAGTCATGCATTCACTTGTTATATGGAAACATACAAATAGTTGTCAATTTCTCTTCCTTTATTTTCAAATTCAAAGGTGACCTCTCCCTTTGACACCTTCTCTCTCTCTCTCTCTAAAGTCCTTTAATAGAGACACACTGAAAAGAACCAGAGATCATTTATAAAAAATAAAATTAAAAAAAACCTACTATAATGAGAATCTTATTTCTTTAAAATTACTAAATCAATGCAAAAGATAGTTCAAATTCTGACTCTCCAATAGCCCAAACCTGACTCCCCAGCATTTTTCATGTATTTTTTTTATTTTACCATGTCTTTGTTGAATACGAGTATTTATTTTTTCACTTTGTTTACCACTGGCCATAAAAAAATTAATTAAAGGGGAATATGAAAAAAGAGAGTAAAAGAGAGAGATCTATCATGACCATCGAGTGCATATAAATGGATTTGAACCGAAGCTGGTCCCACAACTGGTTGGTAAATTTCTAACCGTTCAACCAGTCTTTTCTTAGTGGACCCAACGGTCTCAACAGCCGACAATGACCACGATTACCCCAAAATACTCATTCCCCTACCCTTTCAAATGGTAATATCTGCGCCAGTCCGAGGACAATCAGGTAAAATCAATTCCTCTTTATCCCGTCCCTCGATCGTTTAAACGTCGCCGTCATCTTCACTCTGGTTGAAGCAGCCTAGAGAGAGAAAGTAGATAGAGAGTAGAGAGAGAGAGAGAGAGAGCTGCATCTCCTGAAATAACTATCTACCTCCTCGAGCTTCGACTTTGCTTCGCTCCTTCGTTAACCCCTAATTTTTTTGAAACCCTAATTTTGAAATTCCTTGCGAAGAAGTAGCTACAGATATAACAATGGTGGGGTCGTCGCTTGGGGGCGTGCATGATCATCTCAAATTGGCGAGAGAGTACGCCGTTGAAGGCCTATACGACACTTCCATCATCTTCTTTGACGGTGCTATCGCTCAGATCAACAAGTACTCTCTTTCTCTCTCTATACATACGTATGAATGCACTTATATTTGTATTCTTTAAGTTCAAGTTTTTGTTTATGCATCATTTAATAATGTGGAATTCGAAGTTATTAGATGTTGTTAAGTGTAGAAGTAAGAAACTTATTCCGTTAGTGAATGGAAGTGAAATGCTTGATTAGGGGAATTAGTTGTATAATCTTCGATCTGGACTTGTTTATGATGCATTCGTGTGCTGATTTGCTTAAAAGAAATAAGTATTGCAGTTGTGAACCGTTTAGTTCAGCTCACTCCTATTTTGTTTTGTTGGGGAAAATTTTCAGGGGAATAATTCCGGGAATCTTATTCCCCAGAAAAAGAGTTCAGATGTTCACTTTGAATGGTTAAATTTCCCTTTAGAAGTTCTGTTTAGGAGACTGATTGAACAAATTAAATTTCCCAAGCTTCTGGATGACATATGTGTCATGTTAGTTGGTTCTTAAGAGGAAAAAAATTATGGTTCTTCGAGGAAAAATTGTTCCTTTGCGAAATTCTTAAAGGAAATATTTTCTAATGTAACAAAGGAATCGGTGTTATAGTCACGCACTGTTGCTTTTCTCATGAGATATTGAAACAAATATGTTTATACTTGTATTGTTTTCTTCTGTTTTTCTGTCCTATGCCGAAGTTCATTTTGTGAGGATCTCACATTTTTGTTGATTTGTTCTGTCTTCAGGCACTTAATCACGCTTGATGACCCATTAATTCGTGCAAAATGGATGAATGTAAAGAAAGCTCTCTCTGAAGAAACAGAGGTTGTTAAACAGTTGGATGCAGAGAAAAGGGCTTTCAAGGATATTCCTCTGGGTAGACGGCCTCCTTCACCTCCTATTTCAACTAAATCATCATTTGTTTTTCAACCATTAGACGAGTACCCAACTTCATCTGGTGCTTCAATGGATGATCCTGATGTATGGAGGCCACCTAGTCGAGATGCAACAGGTAGAAGACCCACAAGAGCTGGTCAAGTGGGAATGAGGAAGTCATCGCAAGATGCAACTTGGCCTCGTGGTTCTACCAGAGCTGGAACAACTGGTCGCGGAGCAAAAACAGGCGGTTCTAGTAAGTCGAATGTGGGAGTCCGAGCATCAACTACCGGAAAGAGAGGCACTGGATCAGGAAAATCCAACTCTGGCAAGTCAGATTCAGTGGTAAGTTCTACTGTTCTACTAGGCAAAATAATTTATCCAGTTATCCTTGAATTTATATGGTGCTTGGAGTTTATTCAATCATCGAGAACATATTGATAGTTATACTTGGGTTGTTGGGAAGGTTAAATGGATAAATAGTTCAACTAGCTAAATTTGATGGAGGATAATTTCCATTATTTTAAGAGCTCATTTTAGTTACTTTCCAAGTTATAGTTCAAATTAACATATCCTATTTGTTTTGTGTCAATTCACTCACTAGGATAAGAGTAATTGGCATTTTTGAGTTTGGACATCAAAGCTTAATTCTTAGTTTCCGCATCAAACCTAGTCCTGTTCAGAACGAAAGTGAAATACAAGAAGTTCACACCTCCTCTTTTATGTTTCATATGAGAGTTTTACTCTTGGAATTGCTTAAAATAGATATTTATTATTAAGGGTTGAATGGAGCAGTTTGCTTTTGTTGCCGTTGTCTGATGCTGCTTGAATTCTAAATCACCATGGGTTGACAGTACCTCAAATCTTAAAGTAATTATTTTTTCAATTGTCTGGACCTGGTTTCACCATGTGCACTAAAGAGAAAAAGTGACATGGTCCACATTGAGGGAACGGAAGTCCAAAACCAACATGGGTTTATATCACAAGAAAAAATATGATGGCATGTGATTTGACTAATGTTATGTCCAGGAAACCTGTAATCAACCCTGAATAACTAGAAAAAGGCTTTGTTGAGTTTAGTTTTGTCATGACCTGGTTTCCTTAAATTGTAATGTACAGAGTAAACCAGGTGCCCACAATCTAATGGTTGATTTACTGGTCCTTTAATAGTGTGTGGAGATTGTTATTGTGGTTGCTCTTTAACAGTGCACATTAATATACTTGAACGTGTCATTTATAGCATATGTTTTCATAAGGATGAAATTTTGTTTTCTTTAACATGTTGAATTTGCACCATGGATCTAACCTATTCCTTTGGAAGATATGGTTTTAGTAGAGGATGTTTCTTCAGCCTGTATTTTGTAATTGGGTACCATAAGTAAAGCTAAGAACGTGTGTAATTTTATGAGATTGTTTGTTGAATCTCGATATTGCATATCTTGTGGATAGAATCTTTTAGATTGTATATGTATCTCTCTATCTTTTTTAATTATTATTATTATATTCATTTACTTATTTTTTGGGCTATCCTTGTAATTAGAATTTAGTTGTTGCTAGAGTTTGGGAGAATTTTATCGCTTCTCATTTGTATCATGGGTATTTCAGTTACCTAATTTCAAGTTTGTTCAAGTCTTGTGTTCATTATTAGTTATTTCTCAGTTGTTTGTGCTTGGATTTCTGATTTCTGTTGTCGTCAGAATGGTGATGCTGAAGACGGAAAATCAAAGCGTGGACAGTATGAGGGGCCTGATTCAGATTTAGCTGCAATGCTTGAAAGGGATGTCTTGGAAACCACCCCTGGAGTGAGATGGGATGATGTTGCAGGGTTGAGTGAAGCAAAAAGACTTCTAGAGGAAGCTGTTGTTCTTCCTTTGTGGATGCCTGAATATTTCCAGGTATTCAAGATTAGTTGAAGCCAAATGATTATTGTCAATTCATAAATCTGACTTAAATCCTTATATTCAATGACATTAACAACATCTCTACTTCATCGTGGTGGGGGAGACAAGGATGCCTGGAGATAATTTATCATTACTCTCTCCGTCCCCAAAGAGTCTTATTTCTCATTCATCTTCACAATTCTTTTTCATTACGAAAGGTTGAAGCATCAAACGTTTTTGCTTTTTCATATTACCTCTATGTCCCTGGTACAATATGGCATTAAATGAGCAAAAGTGTGATTTATCATCAAGTAAGGAGGGTAGTTATGTAATACTAAATTTAAGTGCTATTTTGTCTATCCATTACTTGAGTAAAAAAATGGTGCTTCTAAATAAGTCACCTTTTGAGGGATAGAGACAGTACGATATGAAAATTTGAATTTTCTTTAGTATTTTCTGAAGCATCTCTAATGCCTTATAGACTGATTACCTCTAAGTTATGTCTAATCTTTCTTTACAGGCTGACTTATTTCTGTTCTTTGAATTTGCACTAATTAAAAAGAGATCCAAGAGCCATAAAAATCGTTCTAAATTGGACCCTGTAGTTAGTTTTGCCGATAGTTGGTAGTCTAAGAACTTTTACTTGTTTCTAATACTGCATTTGGCATACCTTAAGTAAGATAGTTTTTCTTGCCATACATTGATAGTTGTGTATATGTCTGTATGTATGCCTACACATGGTGAATCCAGTCAACTTTTCTTGCATATGCAGGGAATTAGGAGACCATGGAAAGGCGTTCTTATGTTTGGCCCTCCTGGAACTGGAAAGACACTTCTGGCAAAGGCAGTTGCTACAGAGTGTGGTACAACATTTTTCAATGTTTCTTCCGCTACATTGGCTTCGAAATGGCGTGGGGAGAGTGAACGCATGGTTCGATGCTTGTTTGAGCTTGCAAGAGCTTATGCTCCAAGTACAATATTCATTGATGAGATTGATTCTCTCTGCAATGCCCGGGGGTGAGTTTAATCCTTTTTGATGTGGTTTGAATTGTTAGCCTAGTTTTCATCGCAAAATTTTTATTTTAAATTTGTGTGCTGTTTCAGTATTACATAATATCTTAAATATGCATGTTATCGTCTCACATATATATGCATCTATTTTATCTATATGTAGACATGTGCACTTGTATTGTTTTAATATGTAGGCATTTCACTTGCATATGTTTATTATGGTTGCTGCATCTTCGTACGTACACGACATTGTATTTAGAACTTTCTCTCTCTCTCTCTCTCGTATATGTTCAATGAGATCCATTAGAAATAGTTTCATCATGCCATGTGTTATGAACTTTGAAGTGATTGTGTCACGTATAATAAATGCCCCTTCTGTGTTTTTGTTTAATCAATTGTATTATATGAATTCCTTTTCAAAAAAAAAAAAAAATTGTATTATATGAATGGCCTCACTTTTACAGGGCTTCAGGGGAGCATGAATCATCCAGAAGGGTTAAGTCTGAACTTCTAGTTCAGGTAGATGGTGTAAACAATACTTCCACTAATGAAGATGGAAGTCGCAAAATAGTGATGGTTTTGGCAGCTACTAACTTTCCGTGGGATATAGATGAGGCACTAAGGTTGTATCTCATTTTATTTGTTTAATACGCTTCCTCTTCATGCTTATTTTGTCAGCTAGATTTAACTACTTCATATATTAGTACCAAGCTGTTTGAGTGACAGATATTATTATATTGGTATATCAAGTAATGCTGATCTATCTGAGTGGGGATTTGTTTAATGCAGGAGGCGGCTGGAAAAGCGAATATATATTCCTCTTCCAAATTTTGAGAGCCGTAAGGAGCTTATACGGATTAATTTGAAAACTGTTGAGGTAAGGTGGCTTTGCAGACAGTTTTTTTAGTCATATTGTTGGAGTTGAAGATCTAACTCTCATATTAAAGTTTTATCTTAATTTTAATAATGATTAATTGCCTTTAGCATAAATATAGCAAAATGGATGAAACAGATAAATCATTTTCTTTCTTCTAATTGAAGCTGTAAATATAGTAATCCAGATGAGTAAATTGAAAGTTCAAGTTCTCATGTATTCATGCTCTTATTTTCATGCTGTAAGAGTGCACAAACCGTAAGAGTAAACTCAAAAGGTCTTCAATGCTGAATTTATGGCACAAAATGACAAACTAATAAACTCTTGTATTAACTAAATAATTTGTCAATTTTATAGAATTTATGGCATAACGCTCAGAGTTCCATCTCTTCCTGCTTGTGCAATACTAGATTTCAAGAATTAAAGGTCACGGTGAATTAGTGAGGTTCTGGACTTGCTCTGATAATATTCCTATAGGTGTTTTTTTTTTTTTTTAGTTCGTCACTTGTCAAAAAGTAGCAGTTGTCTTTTTGTTTTCCAGCTTAAATCTGAGTTGGATTTCTGCTGAGTAGTTAATGTAAGAAGGTAGGACTATTTGTTGTATTATAATGAACACTAAATTTCCTTTTTGTCGACCTAGAAACTAAGTGTACTTGACTAATATAATGCTAGAAACGCATCCTTAAATAATGAGTCATTACTTATGGACATGGAAATTTAGAGCACAAGAATTTGCACAACTATAGTTAGGAGTGTAGCAAAATGCTGTGACCATTTTAAAAGTTCGTATTAATGCCCAGTACGAGCATGCAAAAGTGCGGCAAGCTTGGAAGTTCCAAAGATGACTAGTAGGTTATCAATATAGCAAAGGGGAGGTTACCTCGTCCCAACAATATTCATCCAAGTAGTAGGGACTTAAATTTCAAGGGAGTCATTTATTTTGGAGGAAAATTATAACAACCGGCAAAGATAAACAGAATAAAATCTCAAGAATTTCACTCAATTGTCTACAAATTGGTTCGGGTTTCTCATTGGCCTTCCTTCACCTGTATCTAGGAGGTACTTTGCTCATTTCTATTTTTTGTTTTTCCTTTTTTTAGGTCATTGGAATTGAGAGGTATTTGCTCATTTTATATTCAAAACTGATAGTCTTGAACATGTTTAGGTACTTCAATTTGTATATTTACACGTGGTGCGATGGTGAGAGCATCTAATAATGCCCAACCACTTGGGTACTTGCAAAGTATAGTACCTCAAGGCTCAAGCCACCTTTTATTTGAAAGTCCTTCAAATAATTATATATTTCTCGCAATTGCTTTTTTGTCTATTTCTTAAGACAAAACTAATTAAATAGGGAATGAGCTACTAGCATACTCTAATGTATTCAGCTAAGAATATTATAGAACAAATAAACATGGTTATATCAGGGCTTTGTTAAATGAAATTGTGTTAGATTAATTATTCAAACTAATATAGTTCTATGTAGATATTTTCATGGGATGCATGTACAGTGAGATACCACTTCATAAGAAACTAAGGGCTAAAGATATCTAGTGAGCTCTAATCTCTTGGAGGAATGTCCTCAGACAAGTATACTTGGGATGATGATTCATATGCAATGGAGAATCGGAGATTAATCAGCACAAAACAGTATATGTAAAAATTAGAGGAAAATGATTTGCAGTCCTCTTTCTAAAGACTGGTATTTCTTGTTTAATACTGACATTTGGCTTACCCAGATGAATGCATAATGTTAATAGGGAAGTAGCATTTCTAAAAAAAATAAAAAAAATAAACTGATAACTACATATTATGGTGGACTGGTTTGTTTCAAAATATGTAAATGAAGAAAATGAGATAAACAACAGCAACAAGAAGATGAACTTTATTGGAAAATTAACAATAATGGTTGTGTTGCTGACATCAGAGAGTACAATTATACTGTTAATAACGAGTGTGATTAAATGGAGAAGAGCAGGGGCGGAGCCAGGATTCTTCATTTTGTGGGGGGGTGGCACAGTAGTAAAATTAAATTTTAAAAATAAATTAAAATAAATGTAATGATTTTTTTCCAATGCATTTTTAAAGTATATTTTTAGTAGCATGTCTATAAATGATACCAAAAGAAAAAATGGAGAGAAAAATAATTGGCAGACGATAAATGAGGTTATGAAGTGTGAACCATACTTTTTCTTCTCCTTTAATTCATAACAAATAATGTATATGCATATGAATAGATATATAAGAAAAAAAGTTATATGTACATATATAGGGGGAGTTCTAATATATATGTTGTAGCTAGCAATAATTACAATAATAATGACTAGATTTTTTACTAGATTTAAAATTTTAAAAGCAAGGACTAAAAGGTTTCATTCAAACCACCTTAATAACCATAAATAGGTAACTACAAAAAAGATTTTTTAAACAATTTGAGGGGACCAACTAGGTAACCTTAATAGAGTTTGGAGACAAATTTATGGGGGCCATGGCCCCACCCACCCACCCACCCACCCCTCCCTCAGTCCTGGAGAAGAATAATTATTGGTAATTGCTCGATTTGTACATCCAAGTAGAAAAATCAGGACGTGTAGGAGTGTAGTCAAAGATGAACTTCAATACCTCAAGAACGCACATAAGAACCTTTTTGAAATCGATGGAAGCGGTTGTGGTGCGATTTCTTGTTGGAACTGATGGTGTGCCTTTTGGGCTGCTGGATCTGTGCAATAAAGCAAACAAATTCTGATATGAATTGTTATGAGATATTAATCTCAAGCCTCTGCGTAAAAAGTTTGAAATCTGACCTTCTGTGTGGAAAATGTAGTTTGAGATTTCAAGGGATCGACAATCATACCTTTTGCGTGAATAGTTCATGTGGCTCTAAAAATTACGTGAAGAGAATGCCTTATCACTGTACAAAAGTATGATTGTGGTTGAACCCAGGTTTTCTTCATTATTAGAGCATGTACTTAAATGTGAGAGGCAATTATAGGAGTAAAATTGTAATAAGAAAATTGAAAAAAAAAAAAAAAAGCCTAACTTATAGTTTCTTCACTTTTATGTATAGTTAATTGCTTAGCACGTATCGTGTTCTTGTCATGTACTTTATAAATGTTTATTAATTATGTGGAATAATAACATTAACCATAACTTGGGTAGTATATTACATACTATTTGATATATTTTATTAATTAGGAAATAAAAGACATACAGTAATGGCAATAGTGTGTGTGTGGGGGGGGGGGGGGGGGGGGGGGGGGAGAGAGAGAGAGAGTACCTGCCAAAAAAAAGGACATGCTTGGAAGGGTCTGGCTAGTTGTCAACATCTAACGCACCAGTTAGCTATGTCGGTACTTGGTAAAGTCTCGTGTTCATTAGACTGAATTCAAGGCTCCCTCTCTAACATGGGACTTGAGATTTCAAATCTTGGTGGATTTTTTTTTTTTTGATAAGTAAAAATTTATTAAGAAAGCGCTTAGAAGGGGAGCGAACCCCAAGAAAAGGCCAAGGAGCCCCTCAAGCCTTTAAAGAGGAAAAAAAAACAATAATCTCCTCTACAGATCTATAATCTCTCCATGAAACCCAACAAAAAAGAGTGGAAATAATAGAGAACTTAAGCATAGAAATGAGCTTCTCCATCCTGTCGAAATAGCGCTGATTTCTCTTGAGCCAAATGCACCACCAAATATAAATAGGCGTAGCCCTCCAAGCGTCCTGAATGAGGGCCCCCACTGAAAAACCTCTCCAAGCCTCAATCAACCCTCTAGAGGAACAAGACATGACCCAAGGGATCCCAAACAAACCAAGCATTAAATCCCAACAGTTCCTAGCCATGTTGCAATGCAACAGAAGATGATCGACAGTCTCTTCATTGCTCTTACACAAATAACAACGATTCACAACCATCTGATTCCGTCTCCTTATCCTGGGTTAGAATCCTACCCAAGACAGAGGTCCAAGCAAAAAAGGCCACCTTGAGAGGGGCCTTAGAATGCCAAATAGACTTCCAAGGGAAAGGACTTCCAGCGCCAACTGTAAGACATCTGAAAAAGGACCAAACCTCGAAACGACCCTGAGAGTTAGGATTCCAAAGCCAACAATCCGAATCCCCAGCAAAAATCGCCTGTCGATACAATAACTCCAAAAAGCAAGTGACATCCTCAATTTCTCAGTCCTGAAAATGCCTCCTAAACTGAACATCCCAAGTCAGCCTCCCGTTATCAAGATGATAACAGTCAACCTCCATGACCTGCCTATGAGAAGCAATCCTGTAGAGCCGAGGGAAAGCAAGAGCAAGCGGATGCTCTCTACACCAAACATCCTCCCAAAATCTAATCCTCCTACCATCACGGATCCGAAAACGAACATGTTTGCTGAAATCATCCCACCCCTTCCGGATGAGAGTCTAAACCCCCATCCCTCTAGGACCACGCACCTTAAGAGAACTCCACACTCCACTGCTCTCCCCAAACCTCCAAAGCCATTTCCCAAGGAGAGCCTTGTTGAAAGGCAACAACTTCCTAATCCCTAAACCACCATTCCAAATTGGACGACACACTTGCTCCCAACGAACCAAATGATACCCCCCCCCAAAAGAGAAAATTACGCTGTAATCTTTCGATTTTCTCAGCCACAGAAGAAGGAATCTGAAAAAAAGAGATGAAATACGTGGGAAGACATGAAAGGGTACTCTTGATCAGAGTGACCCTACCCCCCTTGGAGAGTTACTGTTTCTTCCATTCCGCCAGTCTCTTCTCGAATGTATCAACAATCGGGTCCCAGCTTCCCACACACCTTGAAAGGACACCCAGGGGCAACCCCAAGTAAGAAATGGGAAACGAGCCAGTGCGACAACCAAAAATCTGAGCAAACATCTCAATCTCAGGGACCTCCCCAACCGGTACCAGAACACTTTTTCCGACATTGATCTTAAGCCCAGAGACCACTTGGAACCGGACCAAAACGCATCTTAGATATCTCAACTGGGACGCATTCGCATCGCAAAGCACCAAAGTATCATCAGCAAACATCAAATAGGAAATCTCCAACTGACTAGCGGCATCCCTGCCCACCCGAAAGCCACTCAAAAATCCCAACTCTACCGCCCTCTTAATCAATCTACTAAGAGCCTTCATCATAAAACGGAACAAGAAAGGAGAAAGTGGATCCCCTTGCCTTAAACCCCTTAAACTAGAGAAAAAAACGGTCGGAGCACCATTCACAAGGACAGAGAAACGAGCACAAGAAATGCAAAAAAAAATCCATTTCCTCCACCGCTCACCAAACCTATCCTCTCCATCAAGTAACAAAGGAAACTCCAGTTCATGTGATCGTACGCCTTCTCAATATCCAACTTACACAAAACACCCGGAACCCCACTACTCAACCCGGAGTAAACACATTCACTAGCAATGAGAACTGAATCTAAAATTTGACAACCGCCCACAAAAGCATTTTGAGAATCAGAAATGACATGATCCAAGACCTTCCTGAACCTAGAAGCCAGGACTTTAGCAATCAACTTATAAAGACACCCCACCAAACTAATAGGGCGAAAATCTCTAACATCTAGCGCCCCTCCCTTTTTCGGGATGAGAGAAACAAAAGCGGCATTCAAGCTCTTCTCAAAAGAGCCCTGGGCATGGAAAGGGTAGAAAGTACCCATCACCTCCGCACGAACCACCTCCCAACACTCCAACAGGAACCGCATGGAAAAACCATCAGGACCTGGGGTTTATCCTCGTTACAGCTCTTCAATGCAGACAAAACTTCCTCTTCAGAAAAAGGCTCTTCCGGAACAGAACACTCCTCACTCGAAATAGAATCAAAATGAAGCCCTGCAAGCAAGGGCCTCCAACCAGAAGATTCTGCAAACAACATCGAAAAGTAATTAACAAAACCCTTACAAATCTCCTCCTCCTTACAAAACATCTCCCCATCCACCTGAATCCTCCCAATGTGATTGTCCTTTCTATGAGCATTGGCAAGTCTATGGAAAAACTTAGTGTTGTTGTCGCCCTCCTTAAGCCATAGAGCTCTAGACTTTTGCCTCCACGAAATTTCTTTCATGACAGCAATCTCAGCAAATTCCGCCTGACACTCCACCCTCCTAAATTTCTGGGAATTCGATAAAATACCCTGACCCTCCATCCGATCAATCTCAGCAATCTCTGAAAAGACCCAATTCTTCCTCCACACCAGATTACTGAAGATCTCTTTGTTCCTAACTTTGAGATCATTTCAAAAGACGCAGCTTACTTGCAAAAGAAAAACTTGGGGTGCAAATCACACCATACCCCCCGCCCACCAGGATCGGACATGCTCCAGAAAACCATCAGCCCGAAGTCACATATTCTCAAATCTGAAAGGGGATCTTCTACTACGCAAACCCCTACAATCCAACATCAACAGAATATAATCATAAATAGGGCGAGCCAAAGTGGCCTGAACAACATCGGAGAATTTCTCCTCCCAATCACTTGACACTAGAAACCTATCAAGACAGAGAGGGTAGGAGGCGAACGACCATTAGACCAAGTGAAGGGACCACCCACCAAAGGCAAATCAAACAACCCAGCCTCATCAATGAACTCCGAGAAAGACTCCATGTCAAACGTCCATCTACCCCCCGTTGACCTTTCAAAAGGAGAACGAACAACATTAAAGTCTCCTTTGATACACCAAGGCAACGGCCATCTCCTTCGAACCTTACCCAACTCCTCCCAAAACAAATGACGCACACTATCCTCTGTAGGACCATAAATACCAGAAAATACCCAGCGGAAGCCATCCTCCAACAAAGAGAAAACGCAAGAGACAGAGAATAGCCCCACCTGAGAGTCCCCCAGAAAAGCCCAACGATTGTCCCACATAATCAGAATGCCACCCGACGAACCAACCGCATCCAAAGCAATCCACTCCACAAATCCCCCCCCCCCCCCCCCCCCCCCCCCCAGGCCCAACGATTGTCCCACATAATCAGAATGCCACCCGAAGAACCAACCGCATCCAAAGCAATCCACTCCACAAATCTCCCCCCCCCCCCCCCCCCCCCCCCCCTCTCTCCCACCTCAATCTACGCACAATCAAATCCGTCTCTAACACAGCAGGTAGCTATAGCTTAAAACACTGTACTAACACCTAATCAATGCCTAGAGAAAACAAATAATGGTAAAAAGAAGTGCAGCGTGAAAATACTTTGGAGATAGAAAAAGTAAATGGATGCAAGGGAAAACAATTTTGAGGGAATGGCTGCAACATCAGCAATGAAGAGGAATAATCTCTAGCACAATAGAGCTATTAATGCTCTGATCTGTTGTGATTCCTGAAATGAGTCAAAATTTGGTGCTGAAGTATAACTTGCACACACACACAAACACACATGCGGGATGTAAATGAATTTACATAAATGATGAAAATTTCGTACGGTTAACAACTAGCTTTGTTATTGATGTCACCAAGATTTGAAACCTCAAGTCCCACACTTCACTGCTAACACAATCCCTGTGAGGCTGACCTCAAGGGAGAATCAAATTCAAGATCTCCACCTTATAAGTGTAGTTCTTGACCAACTCTTCCACTCCACCCAAAGGGCGGGACACTCCTCTAGTCGCCCAAGACAGACAGAGAGGCCTATGTTTTTTTGCTACTGATGTGGATTCCCTTGACATTTGCCTCTGAGGCATTGAAAATTTAACTCACTTTCTGCATCCATGACATGAATAAAGCCAAGTCCATCTTAAATTTTAAAGTTCTGTTACTCTCTCTCCTTTTTCATTTTTGGTGGGTGGGGGGTTGAGGTTGGTTGCATCATTTCTAGGGATTTGAAGAACTAAGATTCCAAGATGCATGGTTCATTCTCTTCCTAGCTTTACCGAACTTAATGAGACAAGCTCTCGCACTTGCTATGTAAAATTAAGTGGAGCATACTTTTGTAATGTTGAAATCTTCCCTTTCAACTCCAGTTGGCCTTCTTGCTTATGCTCACTCTTTACTTTTTGGCTGTACCACTATTTTATTGGGGAAGTAATGAAGCAATATTTGTGATTAACATGAATAATTCAATTAAATTTCTCACAGGCTACACAAATTGTAAAATTGTGTGAAGAATAAAGCAACTATGATATAGTGTTTACCTCTTTTAACATGAACACTCTTTTTAACTAATCATATTTCCTTCTATATCAGGTGGCTCCTGATGTAAATATTGATGAAGTGGCTCGTCGAACAGAAGGATACAGCGGAGATGATCTCACAAACGTGTGCCGGGATGCCTCCTTAAATGGCATGAGACGTAAAATAGCAGGAAAAACACGTGACGAGATTAAGAACATGTCCAAGGATGAAATTTCAAATGACCCTGTGGCCATGTGTGACTTCGAAGAAGCCATAAAAAAGGTTCAACCAAGTGTTTCTGCTGCTGACATTGAACGACATGAGAAGTGGTTTTCAGAATTTGGATCTGCATGAAATCCCTTGTCTTATGATGTGTACCATTGTTTGGTGATTGTTTCTTCTATTTACTGACAGAGTGCTGAAATAGATCTCATTATTGTTGTGTTCTTGTGTATCTACACCCTCAAATGTATCATGTTTGCAAAATTCTTTGCTCATTCAATCTACTCATAGTAAATTCAAGACTTTCTTTTTGACCTCTCACTCTGTTTCTCTCATCCGCCATTGTTTTTTTAACACTTCAAAGACGGCTAAGGACTCCTTAACAGTGTACTTACTTTCTCCCATTCTTATTTTTCCCATCTCCTTTTGATTATGTAATATTAGCACATGTATATATGTATGAAGATATATATATATCTTTATCACATGATTCACGGCAGTTCACTAGTCTTTTTTGGTCTTGTTTTTGTTTCCTTTACTAGAATTGAATTGAGATTATAATGGTGTAGGACACAGCCATGGATCGAGTCTGGTGAAAGGTACAATCAAAATGGAAGGTAATGTTATGACTTATGAGGACAACTTGTTTGGGCTTCAGCTTTGGTTTGTTGGAATATGGCCTGCGATGCTCTTTTCTGGATATTAAGTAATACTGCAATTTCAATTCCAATGCGCAGATTGGGTGCTCATTAACTCAATTACTTGGGATTGGTTATTGAATCTCCTAAGGGCCACCCTCCCCATAATTTTTTTTGCCATGAATGTGGGACTGCATGTGGTCGGTGGTAAATTATGGGGGTGCTCCACACCAAATAATACAAAATAATAAGTCCTCACCCCCAAATAAAAAACCAACAACAATCGTTCAATAACAATTGACAATCGTGGGCTGGGCTAAAGTTCTCATCTCCAATTTGGGTTAGGTTAAGTTTGGGCTTGGTCTAGGTTGTTACCTTGTACAAACTGATCAATCCTAACGTTGACTCATCTTTGTTTGGGACAGGTATGTGAGCATTTTTATAGAATTAGGGTAGTTTATTTATTTATTTTATAATTTTAATTTTATTGACAAGAAATTCAGGCACTCATTTATTTTTACAGGAACTCTAACCCTCTCATTCTCTTTGGAAGGAGAATATATTCGGTGTGCTCAGTACATCGTTCATTCCCGCATGTGTAGTGCTAGCTAAACTTGGTACACATTATACTGGGTACATCGAATACCTTCTCCTTTAAAAGGTAGAGGAGATATCACTGGCATAGAGAATTTGTTTGGTTAAATTTTAGATAGCATTATTTTGGAATTCTATGGAAATTGTTTTATATTTCTATAAACTGTAATCATGCCCCTAATATATTTGACGTTGTTTTGTATAATGATTTTATACTCGAAGATAAAATTAGAGTTTTTACATTACACCATGATATGGACGAGTATTCATGATTAATATATATTCTTTTTCTTTATTGCAAAGAAAGAGTTCATAAGTGTGCAATTTCAGATTCTTAAGGCTTCATTTGGGTAGACACAGCAAGGGAGAAAAGGATAAGTTTTTTTTTTTTTTTTTTTTCCTTCTAATATTTTAATGCTCCGTCTAGTAAAAAGGAAAAAGAGTGAAGGGAAAAAAAGAAGAAAGAAACAAATAAAAAAAAAAAAAAAGAAAGAAAAGAAAAAGAAAGACTATTATAAATATTTTTAAATTACAAAAATTTTCGTATAATTAATATTGTCTCTCTTCTGTTTTCTCGATCCTAACAAACAATATAAAAAGAGGGAAGGATATAATATTTTTTCTACGGAAATCTCATTCATCCCATTTTCTCTTCCCACCAAACGGAGCACAAGAGTTCGGATATTAAGACAAGAAAGTTTTTTTAGGGACTATAACTTTCCATTTATTATCTAGTTTTTTCATATAATTTTCCAAAAAATAAAAACATTAAAAAATTGAAGTTTGGATATTAGTGAACGTACAAGTATAACCTTTTGAGTAATGATAGAGAAACTGAAAAGGAATTCCCGAATTAACATCGAATTTGACGTAGTTGGTCATTCTTATCACGTGTTAAATAATTATTTTTTAAAAACTGTTTAAGTAGACGAGGTGAGTAAAAACATGTCAGATTCGATTTTTATTTATGGGTTAATTCTTAGGTCTCCCTATCATTATTCTAACCTCTGTTGTCTCTCAAAAATAATTTTTTTTTCACGTCCTTCAAACTTATTAAATGACACTCGTACAGCTTTCCTAATTTTTTTATACTAACTAAATATATACGGAGTGCTAAAAAATTAAATTTTATTTAGTTTTTACTTCACATTTCATCTAATTAAACTTAGTGCATGGTTCCCTCCCATGAAAATATCCTGCAAACATCAAAATATCCTAGAGACATTGGAATTCTTACCCCATTAATTATTATATATTATTCTTTTATAATTATTTTTACGTGGAAGTCTAACCCCATCAATTATTATATATTATTCTTTTATAATTATTTTTATGTGAAAGTCTGACCCCATTTTTGGTTGATAGTAGCCGCAATTGTTTGCAGGTTGGTCACCTTGTATTGTATTGCTCGGGGACGAAAAGATCCTATATATATAATTATATATATATATATATATATATATATATATATATATTGAAACAATTTCATTAATTAGAAATGATATAGTCAATTATGGACGTTTTATTTATTTTTTCTTTCGATATGGACGTTTTAATTAGATCTTGTTGAGTTGAATTCATAATTTAAACTTTTATATGTTATTATAAAATTGATTAACCAATGTTATGGTCGCAATTTATTTATTATTTTTATTTTTATCTATGATTTTTCATCCATTAATTCTATGGACGTAAATGACATAAATTAATTAATTATCCTATTCTTAATCATACACAGAGCCAATTAAGAAGAAAGTTCCAATTACATCTTTTGAAATGGAAAAATAAAGAAAAAAGAAGCAAGGTGTATCTCTCTCTAAATGCTTTACAAAAATATTTATTTAAATTCTTATATTTTTTATTCTTGCAAAAGAAAAAAAAAATTTATTCTATACAAATTTAAATAAATTGATAATCATGTTTAATAAAAATTAATAAGGATAATTTAGATAAATCATAATTTTTTATTTTTAAATATATTTTTTTAAACTTCCATGCTTTTCAAACTATTGAATGACACTTCCCACAAATTTTTTTTTTTCTCATACTAACTAAATGCGAATTAGAAAATTAATTTTTGTTCCATTTTTTTCACTTTCTTTTATTTTTACTTTTTACTATTGATTTTAAACTTATTCTAATTACCACCTCCCATCAAAATATCCCAACAGACAATATTTCGGATTCGTCAGACATCTTACATCGCATTGGAACTCTTACTCATTAATAAACTTTGTAATTACTATCCTTTTTTTATGTGCATCGTGAATCTGACCACATTTTCTTTTTTGACAGTAGCCGCAATTGTTCTCTGCAGGTGACCGACCTTTTTGTATTGCACAAGGGGAGAGAAGATCCTACGTTATAAATATCTGAGTGTTTATATATATATATATATATATATATATAACCAACATGCTATTAACTTATTATAAAATCAGTCAATGTGTGGTTTGCATTTGTTCGCAATTCTATATCCTTGACTGAATACCTCTGCTTGGGCGAAGGGGCATTACAATTTTCAAGAAGTCCAGTTTTATAATATAATAAAGTGTGGAGAAATAAAAGTTAGGGTGAAATTTTTTTATGTTATGTTTTTTTGTCCAGTTTGTAACACTAGAATTAGCAATATTTCCAGTTGGTTTGTTTCAGTTATACCTAGCCGATGGCAGCAGTACCGGGTGGGCCACTCATTTATACTTCTTTTACTTTTCTTTTGGATTCGATATAGGACAAATATTCCTTGTATATGACTGTCAGTTGTAACGGGTGAGCCACTCATTTATATCTCTTTCACTTTTTATTTGAATTTGATATGAGACAAATACCCTTGTAACATTCTTTCCCACCCGAACTCATAAGTTTCTCGTTACAGTCGGACCACCTTGCTTACCGGGTAGCTCACCCGAATGCCTATCGGGTCGGGCACTTGGCGTGACACCGAATTAAGGATTAGGTTTGATTCTAATACTAACTGCAATAGGTAAACGTTTGCCCATTTAATGTTAGATAGTACTGCATACTCATCATTTACACCCTTTAATACCCCTTGTAACATCAGCGGATCACCCAGCAGATCACCCAATTACGTTTGAATACTTATAAAACATAAATAAATAAATTAATAGAATTACTAAAAAAATGGAAACAAAAGTGAATGTGGTAAGAAAATTATAGACCATTCTGTACTAATATAATATAAATGAATAGAAATACTAAAAAAATCGTAAAAAAGTGAATGTACTAGGAAAGTTATAGACGACTCTCTGCCAACATAATTCATGGCGAAAGAAGCCAGAAATGCATTAAAAATCCAATATTAAAAATGAAAGATAAACCTCAAAGAACATAACATTTGTAGCATCTTAATTAGTTGAAAAATGCAAATAAATTACTGTCAAATTATATTTATAAATACTTAATTGTAGAGTAAGTAGTGATAATGGGGTCTAAACATTCGCACCTTTTTGGTAAACTTTTCTAAACACTTCCATTTGGAAAATATCTTAAAATTTGTGCATCACAATGTAAAAAGAAACTTTCAACAATCTACCAAATGACCAATGTGGGAGCACATTATTGAATCCCATAAGTGGAAATGAAAAAATGACCACTCACTTATTACAGACAAGAACCTGGAAAATTAATTGTAACTTTTGTACCATGATTTTAGGTCTCTAGTGTACTTGCTTCATCACTAGCTAGGTTGGTCCAACTTCGATCATCCATTTTACACATGTCCACCTCTGATTTATTCATCAAAAAACACTCTCACATTTTATTATTATTATTTTCAGCTCATGAGTTTGACTCTTGTACTTCTCATGTGGGGTAAAGAAAATCGATCTCACAGGTACAATTACTAATGAATTAAGTTTGGAATAAGCTAATGTTATGTTTAAAAGGCAAAAGTCTTGAAATTGAAATTAATTAATTTTTTTTTTAATATTAAATTATTAATTTGACGCTCTTAAACATAATTTTAAAATAATAAAAATTGAGCAACGATCCAACTCATAAACTTCTAATGAGTGAAAATATATAGTAAGTGTAATCCTATACCCTAATACCTAGTATGACGATTACAACCAAACCTCATAATATATGTGACCGAGTATGAAAATGACCTTATAGACCTTGTAATCTTCTACGGTAACTTTTAAGTTTTACCTTTGTCGAACATGAGGAATTCTTTTAATTTTCTATTAAAAAGAATAATATTTAGTGAATTCAGGACATGAAATAATCAAATACCATACATATGGAAACTAGTTACTCCTTTATTTGAGCAGTCTAAAGAGCATAGATTGATATAGCCACGAACAACCAGAAGAAGGTGGTGTTGGTATACTCCCCATGATCATGAAGGCACCAAGACTGAGGTTCCAATTTCTCTCTCTACAATAATATATATATAATTACATATTTTAATTTTTGAGAAAATTCAGTCAAGTTTTATTTGATTTCATATAAAAGTAAGGAAAATGATTTATAAAAATTCCCTACTTGAATATCTTTAATTGATCAATGGTATGCTAAATATAATTTTTTTTTTTTATAAAATTAATGAAGTCCTAATCCTTTTTACATGACTTATTTTTTCTCATCCATGTTCCTGTATCGATTTGACACGACACAAGCATGTATAATGAATGTATGGTAATGGATATACATTCAATACACAAACTCAATTCAGGCATTTTGGTCCTTCATATATTAATAAATAAATAAAGGGTAAAGTACAATATTTTTTGTAACTATTCTGAGGCATTACATACCGATAAACTTTACAAAAATAAGCAAATATTAGCAATAAATAAATAAATAAATTATGCAATATTTTTTGTTTGGTTAATTGTAAATTTTGAAACATTAAAAAAAAAAAAAAAAATCCCACTTCAATTATGTATTATCCTAGGCATATTACGAAGACATGTCTCATACCATACGGTAATCGAATCGAAGTTAATAAACTAATGAATGGAAACAGCGAATTGGGCTCAACTTTCTCTCCCACCTCTCTCTATCTTTCTCTCTCTAACCCTTTGTCTTCATCATCACTCTGCCTCTCCGCACACTTCCATGGGAACAGGGAGATAATGGCCGTCTTTCACGACTGTAATAAATTCAGTGTGTTTTAATAAGTGCATTCTATGGATGTTTTTTTTTTTTTACTTCATTTTTGTTTTTCTTCGGCTAGATCTGTTCATGTTCGATTCGTTTTCGAATTACATGGACAGATCTATTGTTCCTTTCAATTAAACTTTTGATTTAGGTCGGTTTTGATTTTTCCTATCTTAATCTTTTTCCTTTTGATTTGATCAAACGGTTATTCCTCCCAGGCATTCATAATATTTTAAATTATCCAAAAGTTGATATTTAGCTAGCACAATTGGGTCGGCCACAAGAGACAAGTCCTGCCGCAAAACACCAAAATCACTCTCTCTCTCTCTCTCTCACACACACACACACAGTATCATCAGTACGGAGTACTATATTGTAGAACGTCTCTCTTCTGAACCGTGTAACTATTGAGATTGGCATTTTGTTCCAGACCTATCATAAAGCTGTACCCAGCATATTACAATTGATTTCTTTATTTTTTAAAATAATTTCCTCGCAAATCATTTCATAATACTATTTAGGACGACTTGAATCTTTTAGCTTATATTCTAAAAAGAGAACAAAGTCCACTAAACCCATGACTATTAACAAAGACTTCATATATCAAATATTTCGCACTCGTGGACAACCACTACTTTTATTTTCATTCAATTAAGATTTTCTTCCCCACAAAATCAGATGGGACGTCCTAATCTAAAACACAACTTTTGGAATATTTTGTGGAAAGACCAAAACCTTAGCACGCTTGAGTAGCTTGAGTAACGTGAATAACATGTTCTCTCTATTCCATACTAATAACCTATTATTTTATTTTTACATGTCTCAAATTATTTATTTTCTTTAAGAAGTCAAAACATATTTCATTTATATTTTTATCATTATTTTTTATTTTTTTAAACTTTTTTAAACATTGTAACTATATATATATATTAAAAAAAGATAATTTAATAATTTTAAAAAAACACAATGTATGGAGGACAAAGGGACCCCCCACCCCAAAAAATACACACACACATATTTATTTATTTATTTATTGTGACGGTAGGATGAGGATGATGGGGTCGACCGTCGACACTGTCCAGAGAGAGAGAGAATGTGGAAAATAGTCAGATATAGTAGAAAGCCTGTTAATGAATGATGACCATTCTTAAATGTGACATTCAAAAATTCCAGTTGGGTCATAAAAAGACACAAATCTAATCGAAGAACACCAAAAAAAAAACTTCTATACTTTTCGTGAAAATGCCCAAATAATAGAAATACATAATTACACTCATCAAGCTTTGATCTACTGTTTGGAGACAAAAATGCCCTTCCCTGTTATACACTTTATGCTCAGCCCACCAATGGTTTTTACTCGTGTCAACTTTTAAAATATCAAAAAACTAATTATACACCTGAATAGGATAAGAGTACGGGTAATTTGGCCACTTTACAATTGTTGAGGAATCAGAGAGGTTGTTGTCTCTTAGGCTATGTTTGGTACGGTGGGTTTGAAGGAGGGATAGGATTAGTTATGAGGGAAAGGGAAGGAAAATGAAGGGAATGATAATTTTAACCCTCCATTGTGTTTGGTTGGTTAATGAAGGAAAAGAAAGGAAAGAATAATAATTATGTTTGGGAAAAGAAAAGAAATGGAAGGATAATAATAAATTTACTATTATATCCTTATTATATTTTAAAAGAGAATATATATATATATATATATATATATATATATATATATATATATATAATCTCTTATATTTTGCTACAAAAGAAAAAAAACAGAAAAGAAAAGAGATTTGGGCAAACCATTTCAGCCTCCATCTCTAATCTCGTTCTCAAATCTGAACTTGCCTTCTCTTCCTCTTTCTCTCTCTCTCAAATTAAAACCCACATCTTTCACTTCCCATCGCTGTTCCAGTTTGGGTTCGCCGTCGCCATCAGCCTCAAAAAATCAAAACCCACATCTTTCAGTTTCCATCGCTATTCCATTTCGGGTTCGCCGTCCGCCGTTCGCCGTCTGCCGTTCGCAAGCTTCCTGCGCTGAATACATGCCCAATATCAAGTGCAATTTTGAGGGTAAAAGTGGCATGACAAATATTATATGAGCCGTTGCCTGCTATTGCCTTCCCTTTCCTTCCTTATCCTCCCATTTTTGGAAGGTTAAAGAAATTACTGTACATTGTTATGAAGAACCCCTCCAAACCCTTCCCTTTCCTTTCTTTTCCCTCCACTCACCTTACTCAAACACAATTTTTTTATAACCCTCCATCACCTTCCCTTCCCATTCTCTTCAAACCCACTCTACCAAACTGAGCCTTAGTGAAATACTAGAATGGCATAATCTGCGTATGGAGTAATGCAAATTTGTTTTATAAGATAGGTCAGTGTTATGTTTTAACCAGTGGCGTAGCCAGAAATTTTCTTCAGTGGGACAATTTTTAACAGCAACAATATATATATATATATATATATATATATATATATATATATATATTATTTGAACCAAAATAATATATGTAAAAATTAAACAACACTAAATATTTCAGAATATTTTTCATATTCTGAAAGCACGAAGTCAAGTTTTCAAAATGTTCATGGCATAATAATAGTAAATTTAGATGATAAAAAAATATATATTAGATTACCAGTCTAATTAACAACGCATTTGTTTGTGGTAAAGTCAAAAGTGTGAAAGAATATTTTGTATTTTTTTGGGGAAAGTGAGAAATAATATAATATTTTAAGAAATTGGAAAAAAAAAAATATCATATTTTTTGAAAAGATTATATTCATTTTTTTATTTTTTTTATTTTTTATAATACCGTGAATAGTCATTTGGTTATATATATATAGTATATATATGTGCAATGTCAACTTTTAGTGGGAACAATTATACAAATATAAAAATCTTTTCATATAAAATTAAAAAAAAATTAAAAATTCAGTGGGGCATCTGCCCCCACTTGTCCCTATGTGGCTACGCCACTGGTTTTAACCCGAAAAGATTTTATGTCCACCGATCATCTTAGGTATGTTATGAAGAAGTTTCATCCAAAGAATAAGATAAGAATAATGGTAGTTTAACCATTTTACAATTGTTGAGGGGTTAGAGTTCGCTATCTTTTTAGTGATAGTAATTAGGGGCCAAGTAGAGGACCCTAAATCCTCCTTGATAATGTAACACCAAATAACCTGATTCCAGAAATAGATTTATTGATATAGATGTTTTTCTACATGAGGACAAGGGCACATGGAGAAGCAGATCAGCCCATCCACTTGGAAGGAACCTCTTCTTGGTTGTGAGACTATGAGATAACCTGGGCCTTATTAAGTTTATACTTTGTACATACATACATAAAATATATACTTACATATGTATTATATATATATATCTGGTAAAAGGACAAGATGGCCCTTCCAATTCTTTCATTTATTGTCCCCTTGCCATCAACATTGCCCCTAACACCACCCAATGGAACACCACTACTCTGTTCAACACACTATTTCCACCCACCTCGGACCTCTTTATAAACACATTAATACACTACACTATACACACCGTCATAATTCATATCTCCTCCTTAGTCCTTACTTCTTCATAACAAGCCCAACTCATAGTACTACTTCAACACCCTACTGTATTCTGCTCCAAAAACCTAGTTTCAAAAGTTGAAGAACACTTCTATATAAATTTCACTCCCTTTCTTCCTCTCTTTATCAACATAAAGTTCACCATGCCTTCAAGAAACTCAGACGCCTCAAAAACCAATCCTGTCCAGCTTCACCAAAACTTCTTGGACTTGAATTCAGTAACAAAATTGCCCGACTCTCATGCATGGACATCAGCCGATTACGAGTACCATCCCGGTGACTCGTGCAGCTCAGAAATGCTGCCAGTAATCGATCTCAATGACCCCAATGCCCCACAGCTTGTCTGTGAGGCATGCAAAACATGGGGGGCCTTTCAAGTTGCAAACCATGGCATCACAACTCAACTTTTCAACGACATTGAGTCCGCGGCAAGTAGCCTTTTTTCACTCCCCAAGGAACAAAAGCTCAAAGTGGCTCGCGCTCCAGATAGTTTCTCCGGCTATGGCATGCCTCGAATTGCTTCCCATTTTTCCAAGCTCATGTGGTATGAGGGCTTCACTATCATTGGCTCGCCTTTAGAACACGCTCGCCAACTTTGGCCTCAAGACTACAACAAATTCTGGTACTATCACATGCTCAAGTTCATACTAGCTATAAGTAATTTTTCATTTGTGTGTGTGTGTGTGTGTGTATATATATATATATAGTATATGCTTTTGATTTGTGTATTTTATTGTGAAAGCACAATAGCCCAGTACCTATGTCCTTAATATATACAATTAGCAAAAAATTGTCAAAGAAGATATATATAGAGTGATAGAATTCAGAAAATCAATTCCAGTTTTGTTGAATTACAGTACAATATTGTTTTCTTATATATAGTTTTATTCTCTTTTGATTTACAGTGATGTGATTGAGGAATATAAGAAAGAGATGAAACAACTAACTGGGAGGTTGATATGGCTCATGCTTGGGCCATTGGGCATAACAAAGGAAGACATTGAATGGGCTGGCAAAGGAGGAGAAAGTGCCTTACAGCTGAACTCTTACCCGGTTTGTCCGGACCCGGACCATGCCATGGGCCTAGCCGAGCACACCGACTCGACGCTCTTCACCATCCTCCACCAAAACAACACAAGTGGTCTACAGGTGCTCCAGGAGGAAACCGGGTGGGTCACGGTCCCTCCTCTCCCGAGCACACTGGTGGTTAACATAGGCGACCTTCTTCATATACTATCCAATGGGTTGTACCACAGTGTCCTCCACCGGGCCATGGTGAACCGGAACCAACACCGGTTTTCTGTTGCCTACCTCAGTGGTCCTCCAGCCGGTACCCTAATCTCGCCGCTCTCAAAACTGGTAGACAAAAGCCATCCTCCTCTCTACAGGCCGGTGAGTTGGAGCGAGTACCTGAGTGCCAAGAAAGAGCATTTCAACAACACACTGTCCACAATTCGGCTTTATTCTCCTCAATAAGAATGTGTGGATGCAAATGAAGATGATAAGAGAGTGGAAGTTGACTATAGAGGATTAGGTTATTATTGATGTTTTTTGTTTTCATATCCATAGTAGTCTACTAGTTGGCCATGTCATGGGCAGTCACTCAGTGCTTGGAAGGTTGTGTGTGAGGGAAATAGCTAGAGAGATTAGATTGATAAGTTTCCATGAAAAAGGCCCCTACACTTGTTAAGTTCTTTCAGATCGATCATATAAAATGTTGCTAAAAGATGGTCTTCTTTGGCATTAATTTTTGTCTTTGTGTTGAAAGGGATATATAAGAGGGAGAATGGGGTATTTGAAGATTCAAGTAGACGACACAAAAATTCAACAACTTTTTTTGCCCTGAATGTGAAGGAAGATCCTCTCCAAAGAGTAAGACAGTGATAAAGATAAAAACCAAAAGGTTAAATCATTGGTTGATAGATTGGAAAGTGACCCAAAAAGAACACTATGTGTATATATTGTTCTTTGCAAAATATGATTAAAAGTAATCAAGCCCAGAGGTATCATTTGGGAAGCCCGACAACATGCATCACACTAATCCAAATCTGTCCAACTCATTTCTTGATCGAACAGACTACTCTTTCTGTTCTTCAAGAATCAAAATGATTTCAATTTTCTGAATTGAGATTTCGAAAAACTTGCACCCAACCCCAATTCCACCTATATTATTATAAAATAGTAGTAACCCACCATCCAACCCAAACCTTATTAATCCTCCAACTTGGAGGTCGGAGTGAGCTCAAGTTTGAATTGATGGTACAATACTTCACATCAAGCTAGCTATAGGTTGATCCCTTGAACCATCCAATCCCACGTGAATTGCGCTCCTAAATCGACCAATATTTAAGAAGATATTTAGTTTTGTAAGAATCGGTCGTACTCAAATTGATGTCTTTTCATCACCATATCTCAAAATGGGTAAAAGAGGTGACAGTACTGGTTTTGATGATTGGCAAAACTTTGTGAATTGAAAATGATATTGCCTTTGCAACATGCTCATGACATTGGCTAGACGCCCCCAAGCCTATTTATTGTCTTCCAAGCAAACTTCACTTCTGAAACAACATAAAGAAAAAGTAGTTCCGGACAAATATTAATTCATACAAGTAGATTTTCCATTCAAACCATAGTGACAAAGATGTGTACATTTAGTTATAAGCTAATTGGATGACAGTAGCTCGTGCTAAATTTACTCAAAATTTGGATAATAGACCGGACTATATCACATTGCAAGAACAAAAAGTAATGACAAGAGGACTTACCTACAAGTCAGACATAGCAAAAGTGTACACAAGATGATTGTAGAAGCTTAGCTGACCAAGTTAACAATTAAAAAGCCACTGGTTCTGCAACTTTTTATTCTAACAATATATATGGACATAAATGATGTACAGTGAATTATAATCGTATGACAAGAATTTCAGTAAAAAAAAAAAAGTAAATATGGAATAATATTTATTGATTTATGATCATACTCAACTATGTAAAGATGGAAGTCACCTTATTTGTTCTGCTATCCACAGGCTGTCAGTTTCTTCAAGGTACGTAAAGTTGAAATCTCCTCCAGCCATCCTTTGTGTAGCCCATATGTCAGTGACATGAAAGAATGAGATTTACAATGGAAAATACCATATAAACTAGGTAAAAGTTCTTTAGATCGAGTGTGTAATAAGGAAAAATCAAAAAAGATAATGTGAAATTAAGATTGCCTTATGTTTTATAAAAAAAAAACATTATCACGTCATCAGTGTGGACTTATCATAAATAAATTTAATAATTCATTCACTACCAATACAATAATAATTTAATTATGAGGACTGGTGTCCTTTGTCATTTGCATTATGCTTTATCATTTGTAGGTCAACCTAGTGCTCGGAAATAGTTCTCGACACTTTATTCATTCCAGTGGGGCATATCTTTATCTTCATGACATTGTGGGATTTATTTTACACTTATATGCGATTATATTTTTATTTTTGGAATTTGTGCGGTTATCTTTGGAGATATTTTCATTTGAGACATTTGTACGATTATCTTTATAGATATTTTCATGTACGGACTTTTGTGCAAATTGTGAAAGTTGTGTGACATGTTGGGGGGGGGGGGGGGGGGTGGTGAAGTGAATGGTGGATTTGACTTTTTGTGTGAGATGTAGTGCTAGTGTATGTGTGAAGATATTATATCACAAATATCTATACATTTTCTTTTTCTCCTACACATCATCTTTCTCACTCTCTCACTATTGACTCCATTGTTGCCTAAGCTATCTATACATTTTCTTTTTCTCCTACACATCATCTTTCTCACTCTCCCACTATTGACTCCATTGTTGCCTAAGCTTAGAACTCCATTTCCATCACCTCCCATTAGCCTTTTTGACTAGCTGTAGAAGGGAGAAAACATCGGGACACCTTGGGCTATAAAACCCCTCCATCATTTTCGGAATCGGAGCATTTGTCACATTGGATTCTAAGGTTTGCTTTCCCTAGAGATATAGGGGTGTAGTATGGCTTTAACCTAAACTTTTCTTAGTGTTTTGAGGTATGGTGTGTGTTATACATGTGTACTGTGAGTTGTGAGTATTTTTGTTGTATGATTGTTGATAACCTAGCTTCCTAATGATGATATTAAGCATGCCATTGATTAGTTCTATGATTCGATATGATGTTTAGAGAAATTATGTTTTACTTGTATATGGTTCATGTATTAGGCTTACGTGAAATCAAATGTTAGGCTTGAATATATTGTTTTGCTTATTTTTATAGTAGAATGAATGCTATTTTGAATGCATGGATGCATGTTATCAATTGGTCATTTGATGTGGTTTATATCTGCGAAATGTTTTATTTGTGATATCTTGCGCTAACCACAATCTTAGACTACCATGTTTGATGTCATTTGTATTGAAAAAAATGTCATGATAGTATTTGGGACTCTAGGACATGTGTTGGTTGAGTAGTGAAGATTATGTGCGCTTGTAAAGTACTTTAATTGATCATTATATATGTGATACATCGCGGGATTTGGTTGATGATTTTTGGGAGACACTTGGGACCTTTTGTTACTTTGAGAATGCTAGGGTTAGGCGCTAACAGGCGAAACTCAGGTTTCCCCAACTTTATAATGCATATTAGGTTTGTTCCATGCAGTTTAGTAGACCGAGAATAACTATTTTACCAGTTCATGTAGTAGGTATGACCGGGGGTGTGGGTGTGTCCAAGTTATCCCTATTAATTGATTTCATATCCATGTGTAATTGTAACTTGACGCATTTCGGTTTCGTTATATTTTCTTTTATTCGTTTATACTTGAGTGGAATTGTCATTTTCAATTCAATTGCTAGTTCTAAGATAATCCTTTAGAATTACCCTTGAATTAAACGTTGGGAGGATTGTTCTAAACTTGTATAGCATGCGCTACATTTGCGACACCAATGAAACCTAATTTATTTCCATAATGCATTTCCTATGGGACAGTATAAATTGCTCACCCCTATTGATCTCATCTTTTTCAGGTAAGGGCATCACCCGAAAGGAGACCTCTCACCCTTAGCTCGATTTTGGGATTTTATTTATTTTGTGTGCCATGTGTAGCAATGGACATATATTTTAAAACATGTATTATTTTGGATTAATGTACTATTTTTTTGAAGAGAGAAATGGGCCGAAAGCTCGCTTGCATCTTTTGGAGTTTCTGAGTCATTTATACTATTTCTTTACTTACATTTGATACTATGACAAATGATGTAATGAGGCTAATGAGCCACTTTCATTTCAATGTGTGTTTTCCATATTCTTGCATATTTTATGAATGTAAGCACACAGTTACCTATTGATATTCACATAACCATGCTATCTACCATCATTAGGGAGGGTTAAGAGCATATTCTGGGTTTAACTCAATCAATCAAGTTGATACTCGAACGATCGAGTCCTCCATAAACTTAGTTTTTTTTTTTTTTATTTTAAAAATCCCAATATTTCATGTCTCTATCCCATTGTTCGAGTTAATTTGTGTTCGAGTTGTGATCAATCAAATTCTTGTTCAAGTTCTTATTTTTTTTGGGTCCTTTCCTTGAGCCATTTCTTGATTGGTTTAGACTCATTTGAGATTGTACGATGACTGGGGGGTGACCTATTTGGGAAATGACCGTTTTGATCTTAGCTTTCGCATTTGTTGTTCGACTTCTCGGGTTGGGTTTGGATCTACTTGGTTAATGTAACGGATCATGGGATTTAGGGTGTTAGATTAATATTCATATAACAATGAATATTCCACCTATTAAGGTTGGTAGAAGACCAAAAATCCAAATAAAAAAATATATATACCATCATATAAGTTGTGTATCTACCCACTCCACCACATGGTATGATATTGTCAATTTTGGACCCGAGCCCACACAATTTTGCAAGGTTGCCACAAGTTAACACTCGTAATTATCATTACCTTAAACGCAATATGAATAATCTCTCTAATCCTTTCCATTATATGTCATTTCACCTCATATCTTTAGCATTTTAAAGTCATTTTTAATAACCTCATCCAATATTATTTTTTGTAGCCATCTCCATCTCTTACCTTCATTACAACTAATCTTCTTCGTTTGACCAGCGCAACTCTAGGTTTTCGATTTTATATGTCCAGACCATCTAAGTTTACTCTCTCTAATATTCTCACTAATGGGTGTCATCATTTTCTCACCCTTTCATCAATGATCCTATCACTCATAGTTACTCCCCTTATCCATCTTAACATTCTCATTTTCGCGACATGAAAGTATTGTTCTCCTATCATATAGGTAAACACTAAAACCACTTAATCTTCATATAAAACTAATAATCAAATCAACATAGACATTTTAACAAGCCCAATATACACAAGAAATTTATACACACACACAATAATAATTTATATAAAAGATTAAACAACAACAGAATGATACTTGGTGATCATACTCTTTACCATGGCATGTA